TTTATATTTTTTGCATGATTTTGTATCCTGGTTATCAAACTCATATCACATAATTTAACAGTAAAACGATATAGATGACATGGGATCAGCAGTTGCTTAGAAAACGTAACGGTCGGACAGAAGTGATACCCAAACCATATTTTTTTTTCGAAAAGAGGATTTTAAAAAAAAGATTTCACAATCCATGTATATAGGGGGGATTCTTACAACATAACACACACGTATATATCTATACAAAAATTAAAGTTAATAAACAATCTTTAAGATGTTTTAACAAATAAAATCATTTGGAAACAATGCGATGTAAAAATCGCAGTTATTTGGCTGGCTTGATATTCTTGGAACGTAAAGGGTATCTGTTACTCAAAAGCACTTCAATTTTGCACTAAATATACAAACTGGGCCAAAACGGAATTTATAGAAATTCAATATAAAACTATTTGCAAAAAATACCTTACCATAAAATTTGCTTTACATGCTATAAATCAGTATGTATTGTATTGATATCTATGTTTGTGTGTAATGCACACGTGTGTCTACGACATAATTTTTTAGTTAAATAAAAAGTTGAATCTAAAAACTAAGAAATATGTGCATTGTATCTGTACAATATTTAGTGCAGACAACAGCTGATTATAATTGTTTTTGAGTTGTCACACATGCTATATTTAAGTGAAATTATCAACAATACATTTAAAGTTGCGTTACACAGGCTTGGTCAGTTGTCAGTTTTGCATTTATATGCAATATAAAAATAAGAAGAATTAGATGTGTATGATTGGAAATGAGTTAACTGTCCACCAGAGACCAAATGATGTAGAATATAACAACTATAAGTCACCGTACGGCCTTCAACAATGAGCAAACACCATACCGCATGGCAAGCTATACAAGGCCCCGAAATGACAAATGTAAAACAATTCAAACGAGATATATAACAGCCTAATGTATGTACAAAACAAAAAAACGAAAAACAAACATAAATATATAGCAACAAACAACAACCACTAATTCACAGGCTCCTGACTTGGGACAGGATTGGACTATTTATAACAATCGGAGATTTCGCTGATTTTATCATCATGGTTTTCGAAGACGATTTTATTCAAAGCAAGCCTCCATTCTCTTATATGAAAACTTGCCTAAAACTAAAATATAACGACAAAAAAAAATGGTTGCGATTTATACTGGCAACAATTTCTCTGAAAAATAATCTAGAAAATTCGACAGAATAAAATAATAAGAATTTCCTTACAAAGGTTGGTAATTTAAAATGAAGAGTTACTAAAAAAATATCGAGTGAAAAAACATTGTGTACTTAAAAAAAACAGTGTGTATTTAAAAATAATTCCACACCATGTAATGGCATAAACATGTAAAGATTTGTCACCTTCAAATGATAAAAAAACGCATCTCAATTTTTCGATAATTTCCTGAATTATTTTGATTTTTTATCTCTAGAGGTTTGGGATCTTAAAATATAACTTTAAATGATTATGTTGATATTCAATAAAAATATTTAGAATAACATTTTATATATGTGAGATAATTTTACATCATTGTCATTGAACATCGTGGCCATATTTCACTATCCTGACATTCTTAAATATCAAAACATTCTTGTCTTCACAGTTCTTTTAAAACTTTGTGGGACAAAATAAAGACGTTTGATTTGTGTTTTAATTTTTCCCTTCAATCTGTCCATCAAAATTTTCTTGTCTTCAAGGTTTTTTTTCTTCAAAACATTGTGGGACAAAACGAAACGTTTAATTGGTATTTTTATTTTTTTTTATTATCAATTATCAAATATGAGCAAGAAAATTTTTTTTTTAAGGAAATAAGTGTCTTTTATAACACTTAAATTGAAAATTCATCAGATGACAATTTTATATTTTAAAACCGGGTTTTTTTATTTATTCTATTTTTATTATAAATTTCTGTCCTACATTTTGCCGTGAACATTATGAGAGGGCATATTTATCGTTGTGCCCAATGACCTAAACTTTCATGTCTTCCTAGTATCGATTATATGTTAATAAATGTTGCATTATATCAATATGTTATACTTTTATGATAATTCGTTATAAGTCAGTGAACTTCGTAAACTGATAACAAAAGTATAAAATCACATCTAAAATAACAATGCATTACATAATATATCTATATATCAATAAAATATATTCAGCTGCTTTTGTTTAACCTGCTACAGGAACTTCACCCCGCTTCTATTTGGTGAACAGATAATTTCTCGTATACAGATATAAAAATCATAAGTACAAGAAGAGCATAAAGAAAATAAATGATGGAAAGAAAGCTGGTCTCTGGATTGGCATAGAATGCTCATGCAATACCACTCCGGAAAAAGTGTCGCCTTGTCTTTCTGTGACAGAGTGAGGGTTTTGGTTATGATGGAAATCCCTGTTTTTGTAAATTTCCTATGACTTTAGTATAATTAGTAGATATAAGAAGATATGGTATGAGTGTCAATGGGACAACTCTCCATCCAAGTCACAATTTGTAAAAGTAAACCATTATAGGTCAAAGTACGGCCTTTGTTGGGCACTTTTTCATATAAGCCGCTTTTTATTCGTAATTATTTACTTTTGTTTTATTGTGAAACGCCACCTCTACTTATGTTTTTGATCTTCATTTAAACTTAAATAAATTTTGCATTTCAAGATATCTCTTAAGCTGTGATGTAATATATTTTTTTTATTTTTCAGACAATAGTTCAGAATCATAGCCTAAAATGTATACAAATGTGTACAAAGAAAATCGACTTTTGATTGAAAATGGAAAACTGTCTTCAGATGGTATCTCGGGACATTTACAGGCGTAATAATACAACAAAAACGATTTCATACTGGGCAGTATCTGATAATACTGGTTATATCTAACTAACGTATCATATTTTTCAACTAAATTATATCTCAATATAATAATTAAACACTCAACGCTTCATTTTGAACGGGAAACTCTTTCTCTACAAAACATCAATTAACAACACCCACCCATGTACACCCTTGCTAACACGCTAAAAAGAATGCGCCACAACAAATTCCCACAATGCAAATACTACTGCACAACACTTGTACAAATATCAACTGTAAACAAATACACAAACTCTATAAATAAAAAAATCGTTTCGTGTTTACAATTCGTTTTCTAAAAACCCAATACACTAATGTCCTTGTAGGTTTACTCCAATTGACCGTAATTGATATATTTTGAAAGATCTATATGTTTTCAGTAATAGATAATGTGTAAATGAATGAAATTTATCACAATGTAGGTAAATAATCTTCCCTGTCTGCGTTTACCATATGAACACTATACATGTATGTATATATGCACATTTGTGCAGTGAAGGTAAACTTTAACCTAGAAAATTGTGCAGCGTCACATGAATAATGTTAGTGACATGCATTGGTGTAGTCTAACATGCAGACATAAGATATCATAGGGCAGACGTTTGAGGCTCAATTGGAGGTGTCTCTTTAGACCTTTTCGCACTTGCGAATTAATGACAGATTGATAAACGAATGAATATTCAATTCAAAATATCATCCATATTTATTGAGACAACCCTATCAGTTCTGAAATGAATATAGCATATCTTTTAAAGAAAAAAATATATTCGTGTGTAACAAATGGGGGTCGGGCAAACATTCTATCATATTTCGAATGTTCTATTATGCATAATAGCTCATACTACACACGTTTAAGTTATCGATATTTATTAGCTAATTCAACTGAGAGATCAAGAATGTATGAACTTAAAAATCTACTTTTAAGATCCCAATCTTACTTCAGATGAAGAATCTGACATAATGAGAAACCTGAATTACTACGTAACTCTTGAATGAATCCTGGTAGATGTGGATATAGTTTTAGATTTCTAGGATTGTATTTAATCCAAGCAAACAAGAGAGCTCTAAGACCTTATCATGCAGTTGCAAGTTTGATTTTGCTATAAATCAGAATATATTGATAAATATAATGGGTTTATTTTAATTGTAAACGTTGTTGTCACTGTGATGAAAAGATGTCTCATATTGGCAATCACACCATATCTTCTTATTTTATAAGAAAAAAAAACTGTCACAGACGTGTTCAGGTCTCACTGAATGTCTGAACAAAAAAGGAATCAATTGGCTATTTTGAGGCTACTGGTAGTGCTTAATATCTTTTATTTCTATAACTAACATAATATAAGAAGGACAGAGCTAACTGATCATGAACATTTAAGAAAATGGCGCCTCCGAATTTTAGGCTGGTTAAATTCAATCTTTTCTATGACTATAAATAAGTGGGGATTGTAAATTTGTGAAAAATTATTACATTTCGACATTAATTTCACTAACGGGGAAACAGGGTATATAGTAATTTGTGTATATTTGAGAAGAGGGTGAGTTTTAAATCAGGTTAAACACAGGCTACTTTCTGTTTTAATATTTCAACTCTTGTGGTTTTATCCATATATTTTCTTTCATAATTCATATAAACTTCACTCAAACATTCATATGGACTTATGGCTCAACGGTTAAATAGTTTTTTTTATTCATTAATCTTAAAAAACTAACAAATGAGTAGTGAATTTTCAATAAAATAACAATTTGATTTACTATTCAAATATGACAGTCATTTTTTTTATTCTTAAAATAAATAGATGCAAAAAAGAACAATTAATTTATATTCAATTAAATTTTCAGAAAAAACTTTTTCCGTAAATTCCAAAATTTTATATTAATTATTTTGCTTAAAAAGATGTGCACATAAGTTCAACGTCCAATAGATCATCCAACGTGTTCTCCTTTAGTATCGTCACATTTCATTCATATATTGCCTTCGAAATATCCTTTTATATCTTCTCTTAACTTTTTTCAGCTAAAATTTTCTATGTGGCTTCACTTAAGAAATAATTTTATATCTCATATAATATTTAAAAAAAAATGAATAGAAATATTGTACATTTTGTGCAAATATGGAATAAATCAAACCTGTTTTCACCAGGCCCTAGTCGTTGATTATCATGGTACGATACATCATCATACCACATTCCGTAAAATGGACATCCCACCCGTCATTTGGGTAGCCAGTGTCCCTATTCCGTGACCTTTCTGGCTTGTTGCAAATGGCCAGTCAACAGCAAATAATTATCTCCCTTCGTAACGTAATAAAATAAATTGTATATAATGTTTGAATTCAAATCCTTAATTTTCCTTTAATAGGTAGATTAGATAAATTCCATTTCATACAGTTTTCTTATATTTTTTTTGTTTTGAATCTGCAATTGATATTTATAATATAGACAAAACATGAAGCTGATAACTCTTTTTCGTCGGAGATAAATTTTGAAGCGTCGAAAATGGCTGACGATGGAACCGGCAAAATCGAAAGCGCAGAACAAAGAACTGTAAATACAACCAAACAAATGGAAAGCTTTTTAAAACATTATGCTTTATTTAAAGTTATTTGAGACAAATTGTTTTTTATATGCTCACAAATGCATGAACAACGGATTTTCTCTGCGCTTGAACATTGTTAAACCTGTGACATGATCGCATATTTTAAAATTTGGATATTATATCCAAATTTAAAAAATTTTGGTTTGTTAAGGTTCATCATAATGAATGGGCAAACATAGCTTTGCTTACACCTCGAAAATTACTCTTGAGTACAGAAAAACCAGTACAGTTGGAAACGATTTAAGCTATAGCTTCCACTAGATATTTAAAAGTTAAACAGGTTGGGAACAACACCCCCCCCCCCCCCCCCAAATGAGGGATACCCCTTAACTGAGAGACTGTCCCTGAGACAAGGGGTCATTTTACTGTTGTAAAACAGAAAAAAGAAAAATTTAGATTTTTTAACTTAAAAAGGGAAAAATTTATTATATTTGGAACAACTTTTCTAAAAGAGGGGTCCACTTATTCTTAACCCTTTCGCCGATGAGTCCAAGTTTACCGGGAATCACGCTTCAGACAGCTGATGATGAGTCCCGTTTTACCGGGATCAGAATACCTCTTTTATATTTCCCGCTCAAAACAGTGCAAACAGGAGTTATCTTTCTTTGTTGAATACCCGGATGAAAGTGTAAACATGGCGCTTCCGTTTGTTGAAAACCGTGTCAAAATCAGAGGAAATTTACAGAATTTACGAGAATTTGAAATGAGGGAACATTTTTTTTGAAAGAATATGGAAGAATTGAAGCCAAACTAGTATACTTTTTTTACATAAAATGTCGTTTTATGTACAAAACACTTGGAATGGACATCGTTCAGTGTAAGGAATTTGTACAGCCTCATTAAATTTTTCAAAATTTTGCCGTTTTGGGTTAAAAAATTACGATTTTGGGTCAAAGAGCAGAATTTTGAGAATTTCACCTAGATAATGCCGAAAATTTGAAAATTTGAATATTTTATGAAGAAAAAATTATCAAAACATGAACAAAACTGTGAACATGGTGTTAGTGAATGAATAAAGACACAAATAACTACAGACAAGTTTTTATTGACTTTATTATGAAGATCTCCCACTTGAGTAATAGTAGCCAGGGAAGCCATCGTCTCAGAGTAGCTTCTGTCTGGGCAGCTATCGGTAAAAGGGTTAATAATAAAGAAGATATAAGCCCAGTATTAGGCCCAACTTTATTTTTGTTATTCATAAATGACCTACCTGAGCATGTCTCCTGTAAGGTTCGTCTTTTTGCTGACGACTGTTTACTTTATGAAACATCAAATAATATAAATGAGTCTCAAGCACTCCAAAAAAATCTATCAAGCCTTGAAAATTGGGAATCTGAATGGCAAATAAAATTTAATCCTGAAAAATGCTATGTCATAAATATTTCTAAAAAGTCCAAAACTAATTTATTTCTTTATAAATTACATAACCATGTACCTGAATCTGTCAAAGACAGCAAGTACAAAATGTATCTAGGAGTTACAATAAGCAATGATCTTGATTGGGGGCCCCATATTAATAATATAACTCCAAAGGCAAATAAAACACTAGGTTTTTTACGTAGAAACATGAAAAACTGTACACGTACACATCACTTGTGCGTCCGACCGTCGAGTACTCCTCACCAGTTTGGGATCTGTACAAACAAAGCCAAATAAACCAAATTGAGCAGATACAGTGTAAGGCAGCAAGATATGTTTTTAATGACTATAACGATAGATCATCAGGCGCTGTCACTGGTATGTTAAACAAACTAAAATGGGAAAACTTGCAATCCTGTAGAACAAAAGCTAAGCTTGTCTTGATTTATAAGATTAATGGGGGGTTGGTCGAAGTCACTAATGACGTCCTGACACAATCTGACAGGCGAACTAGAGGCCTACATAAATTTCGACATATATATACAAATAAAGACTTTTTTAAATCATCTTTTTTCCCAAGTACTATTGCTGTCTGGAACGATCTCCCAGAAACAATTTGCATGTCACCCTCCCTAGAATCCTTCAAAGGTGGTATCTCCACCTTAACATTTGAAGGTTCTAGTCTGGCTAATTAATTAGTGTATTTAAGCCACTGTACATAATGTGAATATGTTTAACATTAAGCTACAACTAATGTTATTTTAAATTGTAATTGAACTGTGGCAAATATTTTTATTTTATTATAACAAAATTTTCGACATCCATTTGCATGTACATAGCGCCACAGTTTCGGGATATTCCACATACCGGCACCGGAGTCTTTCCCGTACCAGGAAGAAGAAGAGGAATATAGCAAAATTCTTGGACCTGTTTTGACCATATAATACCAGTTAGATGTATAGTTCTTTGGGAAAAGTTTCTTCAAATAATATAAATATTTGCTCATTTGTACTAAGAAGTGGTTTTAAAAAAAAAAAAATTTTTATCAATTGAAATGTATCTCTCATAAAAGGGATAGTCATTACATTGAGGGGTTGTTCCCAACCTGTTAAATGCATTTTGTCTTTCAGAAAGATCAAATCTTTTTGGAATATGATGGGGACTTTTATCACTGCATATGATGGTAAAATAAAAAAAACACTTGAATTACATTTGATATTATTATACTTCACGTTAGAATGCCAGATTTTGATTGGCTAATACGAGGGAGATAATTAACTCTATCCCATGGCTCAGCGGGTGACATTTTTTTAATATCACCCTCTCATGCAGACCAATCAAAAATTGATAATTTAAAGGACAAGCATTGAATTTTTACTAATAAATTGAAAACAATAATAAAGTTCTACGTTATGTCCTCAGAGCGTCTTCATACACTGTCAAAATAAAAAATATATCATGCATCACTTCTGTTGTTTTTCTAATAACTGTAATGTGCATGTGACGTCAATAATGATAGAACATTCAGTATAATAAATTAAATAACACATAGCTGAGAGGGTGATAGAGCAGATTGGTACCCCTTGATTGGCTTCACCCAGTTGACAATGTTTTCTTGGGGTAACAATCTGCTCTATCACCCTTTCAGCTATGTGTTATTCATATACTGTCAACTCAGTTACACCGTTAATTTGTCTTTTGTCCTAATATACTTTTCAATCAATACAATACAATTGTTACATGAGAGGGACATCTCACAGATCTAACATGTCTAACCCAATTTTGTTTATTTTTACACCTTCTGCAGGAACAAATAATAAATGTTTAAGACTATATATCTGTAACACCAAAATGGGCAACAATTTGATATCTGTTATTTAAAAAAGGAAACACATGGGTCCTAACATATGAACTATAAATCCAGGTGTGATCAGAAGATAGATCAGATGTATGCACAAGACTTTCTTGTTAAGGAATATCATGCCATCAACTCTGAGGTAAAAGCTGGTTATGGGCCAGGTTGGGTGTTAGTACATGTAGTTGTATTAAAAAGATAAAAGAAGGACATGTGGAAGGATTTCAATGAGACAACTATTTACCTAAAGGCCAAATGACAAGGATGTAAATTTTATACTATAGTATAATTTTCAATGAGCAAAATACCTGCATGTTTAGTCCCCTTAACTGAGAACAGTGGTGTAACATTAGAACAAACTGTGACACTGGTGGAAAAGGACTTATACATCAGAACTCTACTAAGCACAAACAACAAAAGATCAAAATACAGAGTACTTTACTGAAAGTTAGTTAAAAGTTGAATTTCAATTGATAAATATACCATATGATAAACAGACCATAAGGTCAGATTTACCTTGCATATATCTTAGAATGATGGAATTTGATTTTGACAAAATGAAAATTTCCATCAAATCTCAAAACACTGATTTCATGATACACTTTCTACCATATAGCTAATTAGCTGAAAATATCTGTACATGTACATGTAGTTCAATAATAGTAAATGATGCCTTGCCAAAATAAAGCTTAACTACTTATCATAACTAATATACATGTAGACTTATATAATTTTTTCTTATCCTTTTAAGGATATGAATATACCAGAAGGTGATGAAAAGGTTGAACAAAAAGGGATGGAACAAGATATCCAGAAAGAAAATGAGACCTCTGTAGCAAGTTTGAAAGTTGATATTGAATCTGAAAAGTGTCTGGAAAAAATATCAAAGCCTGAATCAAATATAGAGGAAGAGACACTTGTTGACATTAGTACTGATATAACAAAAAGTAAGAAGGCAGACGAAATAAAGGACTATGATTGTTCTGAAAAGGAATGTGAACAAGTACATGTTACTAAAGAACAACCAAAATCTGATTTTGGTTTATCTGAAAATGCGCAAAAAAGGGAAATCCCTGATCCTATTACTTTACAAAAAACTACTAATGTAAATCCTGGTATGGATATTGAGACCACATGCTTGAGTACTGTTGATAAAACCAATATGAACGCAGTCACAGACAGTGATAATATTTATATTGCTAATAAAGTTTCTATTGATACTGAATCAGATCAAGATGAATCTGAAAATACTGACAGTAGAGTTACTGTGAAAAATGACAACCAAGAAAATATAAACATTCCTGAAATGTTTGAATCTACTAATGAGACCAGATCTGAATTAAGGCTTTTAGGGAATAATGACATGATACAATCTAAAGAAAGCACTGAACGTGTAAATGTAGAACTATCAAAAACCTCAGAAAATAAGGAAAAGAAAAATGCTGTTGATAAGAACAGTTCAAAAGTTGTGGATTTACAAGAGTTGGGAGCTTCAAATCAGACTGACAGCCCATGTACTACTTCTAAAAAGGAAGAGTCTGATGGTCATTTGAGGGATATAGAAAGAGGGACCCACAATTACTCTGAATCACACGATAACAGTGAAATTTCAAAGGAACAAGCTATTGTAGCAGACAAATCTGTAGATGATATTTCTAGTGATCAAAATAAATTCCTACATGTAACTCAATCTGATGTACAAATGTCAGCAACTTGCTCTAGTAAAAATATAGAACAAGATTTATCAAATACTTCTGGTTCTGTTAATGACCAAACTTCTAACAAAATTACTGTAAAGGATGTACAAAATGAAACTTTGGAAAATATAGCTAATTTGGAAAACCCAGTTGTGTCTGATAAAGACGGAGAAGAATCTGAAATGGAAATAGATAAAATTGTGTCAAAACAATCGGAAACTCAATCTTCAGATCATGGTGAAATAGACAAAATTGAGTTGAACCAATTAGAAACCCAATCTTTAGATCATGAAGAAAAAGATAAAATGGAGTTGAAACAATCAGAAAGCCAATTGTTAGATCAAGAGTCAAATGTTAAAGATCTTCAGTCTGACATATCAGATGATGAAGACAGCAGACATGAAACAGAAAACAATGGAGAACAAAATCTGAATACAAGGACTACAGTTGAGTATGATTCATTTTTGCTGTCAGAAGATTCATCATCAACTTTCATGCCAGAAAGAAAAGTTAATGGGATGGAGGTAGATGCAGCACTGATATCAGAGTCTAGTTGTTCAGAATATCCACCAAGCCTTGATACACCAGGGCCACCCACACCAGCTTCTTGTACAGTTGATACTGGATCCACAGGACCGACTCCTGCTAAAAGATCTCGACAGGGAAGTGCAGATACACCTCGTTACAAACAGTAAGAATCATTAGCTCACCTGGACAGAATGTCCAATGTGAAATATTGCCAGCATTTTTGTAAATAGGCAAGCATTGTGAAAACTAATTAATAAACATAAATGCGAAAATTTCAATATGGACTGCTGCCATGTTTACAAGTTTCATATGAGTTTTTGCTACCACTAAGTAAATAGGCAAGTCTGAAGAATAGTATTTCAAAATTTTAGATAAAAAAGTTTCATTTGAATAATGTTTATTAAAAAAGTCCTGGTGACTTTATATATTGCCATCTTGTGATAAGTAACAAGGTTTGATGAAAAACAATGAAAAATTTGAAAAAAAATTAGCACACCAACATGAAAAGATATACAAGTAGTAGATATATTTGGATGTTCATTCACTAATTTTCCTTAAAGATACAAGCAACATACTAATGTCTACATAATTTTATGACACCTGCATTGAGTTTTTTTCCATATTTTAGTCCAATATTTCCTGCCAGTAAATTGTTTGAATACCAGTGGTCACAGGATCAAGGTGCAGTAGCAGATTGGTTTTTTTTACAAGAACAACTCAGTGAATTTTTAGATGTTAAATCATTTAGAAGAAAATTTCCAGGTATATGTCATTTTATGAAATATCATTTGTGTTAGTAAAATTCTTTGTTAGAATAGATATATTTAGAATTCATCATATATATATGAATCACAACAAATTATTTTGACTGGTATATATTGATTAAAGGAATTACTACTTCTCAGGCATTGTTGAATATTTTCTATTCAAAATAGCAATGATTCATGACACTAAGGGGTGCCTTTTCTGGCGTCAGCAACATCAACAATTGTAAATGTTAGCGATTAGGTCACTTTAAGAGGAATAACTAATGATCAGTCAAGGATATTTTGTAGGCACTTGTATTAGCATTGGCAAATCTCATTTACATGGAGATTATTTGGCCCTTCATGTTTATTAGTCATGGTCCATTAACTTTGAAACTTTTGAAAAGGTTACATGTTAAAGTTTGTAATTGGGTCACTTTAAAGGGAACCACTAATGTTTAGTCAACCATATTTGGTTTTCAGTTGTTTTAGCATTGGCTCATTTCATTTCCAGAGTGAATATTTGGTCCTTCATTTTTGACTGAAACTTTTGCATAGTTTACAAGTCAAAGTGTTGCCATTTTAACTTCAACATTTGCATTCGTCTCTTTTAAAAAATAAACACAGGAAAGACATATCTCTGTGTCAACAGTTTATTGTCGAGCCTGCGACTTTTGTCGCAGAAAGATCGACATAGGGATAGTGATCATGCGGCGGCGGGGTTAGCTAATTTCTTAAAAGCTTTATATTTTAGAAGCTAGAAGACGTGGCTGCTTCATACTTTGTGTATAGATGCCTTATGTTACGAAGAAGTTTCCGTCTGTCATTTGTCCATTGTCCTTGACCTCATTTTCATGGTTCATTGACTACTTGAAAAAAAAGTCAACATTTTTTGTATTGTTAATTTCTTTCTTTTTATGAGTAATAGGATAACTATATTTAGTATGTGCGTACCTTGCAAGGTCCTCATGCCCGTCAGATAATTTTCATTTGACCTCGACCTCATTTCATGGATCAGTAAACAAGGTTAAGTTTTCGTGGTCAAGTCCATATATCAGATACTATAAGTAGTAGGTCTACTATATTTGGTATATGGAATAATTGTAAGGTGTACATGTCCAACTGGTAGGTGTCATTTGACCTTGACCTCATTTTCATGGTTCAGTGGTCAAAGTTAAGTTTTTGAGTTTTGGTCTTTTTTTCTAATACTATATGCAATAGGTCAACTATATTTGGTGTATGGAAATATTTTATGATGTACATGTCAGTCTGGCAGGTTTTATTTGACCTTGACCTCATTTTCACGGTTCATTTCTCAGTGTTAAGTTTTTGTGTTTTGGTCTAGTTTTCTTCAACTGTAAGCAATAGATCAACTATATTTGTTGTATGGAAGGATTGTAAGCTGTTTATGTCTGTCTGGCAGGTATCATCTGACCTTGACCTCAAATTCATGGTTCATTGGTCAATGTTAAGTTTTCATGGTTAAGTTTGTTTCTTAGATACTATAAGCAATAGGTCAACTATATTTAATGCATAGATTGATTGTAAGGTGTACATGTCTGCCTGGCATGGTTCATCTGACCTTGACCTCATTTTCATGGTTCATTGGTCAATGTTAAGTTTTCTTGGTTAAGACTGTTTCTTAGAAACTATAAGCAATAGGTCAACTATGTTTGGTTTATTGAATGATTGTAAGGTGTACATGTATTTCTCGTTTGGTTTATCTGACCTTGACCTCATTTTCATGTTAAGTTTATGTGTTACTTGTAGTAAAGCTTTATATTTAGGACTATCAACATAAAATCAATTGTTAGTAAAGAAGGCGAGACATTTCAGTGTGTGCACTCTTGTTGAATAATGAAATAAGAATTGTCATTTAGTATTTATAGATTATTAGTCATTGCATACAACATATGTTTTGAGAGTCCTGCTGTTTCATGTAAAATTATGAATACATTTTTTAAATTTGCTAACCATTATTATGTTCATTTTTAATGATCTTTAATTAAAAGAGCTAACAAGGAGACCAGTGGATATGAAAGAAAGAGAATATCTGAGAGACAGATTGGTTGTAACAGAAACACAATGTGATTTAGGTTTGTATAAAAGAGTGAGAAATTGTCTACCTCTGGTAATCTATATAATATACAATTAAGGCCCTCTGAGGAGGGGAATATCTGTTTTATTGTTTCCTTGTGTAAGGCATTGAGAATTTAAAATAAAAAGATGTTTTTTTTTGGTTTGTTTTCACTGTTTTAGTTTGTTAAAATATTCATTTGACTTCATTAATTATTCAAACAATGTTTTTACAAAGTTTAACAACAGAAATTCTATACCCAAGACATAGATTGCTAATTGCAAATAACTTTTAAATTCAAATGTTTTGAATGAAATAAATTTTTTAATTTAAATATTACTTGAAGCTGAACTGTTGACATCAATCATCAATAGAATGCAGAAGAAAAATAAATGTCCAAAATTATGACGATAAAGCTGGTGGTTAGAAAATATTGCATGGCTAGAAAAATAAATGTATCTGCACAATGAGTAAAGGAACAAGCCTTCAATACTGAAAATGTTAGAAATAAAACACATTTAAAAGTATCAAATTGGTAGATGGTGCCCGTTCTAAGGAAGACAATTTTGCTGACTGGGTGAAATAGTTCCTTTTTAAATGTGTGAACCTGTATTTAAAGACCACCTGTAGTAAGAGACCACTTTTGTCTCTTCCTTAAATGATCACTTAATACAAGATTGACTGTAAGAGCTTTTACTCGAAGCAGATAAAGATTAAAAGGAAAAGATTACTTCAATTGCTGTTAAAGGCTTGTAATAGAGTTAATTCTTTTTTAAGTGTGAAATTCAGACATTTTAAATGAAATTTGAAAATTTATCTTTATATTGACTTAGTAAGGAACGCAAGAAATGATACTGCATAAAATTATAATAGACCTGCAGGAAAATAATGCCATCATACAGCATTTGAAACGTTTGCAAAATGAATAAAAAGGTAACACACTTGCATTAGTGACAATACGCAATTCAATCAAAATTGATTTTAAAATTAGACTTTCCATTACTTAAAACATATGTTTGGCTTCCATTTCTTGAAACAAATTAAGAGTCAGTGATCAATGGGTAAATAAACAAGCATTCAGCTGATTACTGAAAAACATTCAGCTGTTATTTATAAGGTCAATTAGCTATATAACCCTCTAGGGACAATTTGAAATGATATCTGTTCAATTACAGCAAGTGATAGTCTTATATAACTCAATTATGATAAATGCAGATTTTATAGATTTGTTGAATTTTTACTGTAGGTTTGACCGCCGTAAGAAGTGAAGAAGTTTTAGATATGATGGCAAGGGATTATCCGGAAAAATATCGAGTTAGTATGCTAATACATTCAGAAAATAAGAAATATTCAAAGTTGAAATAAATATACCATTATGTTCAGGGAAATGAAGTAATCACCTATCTGAGTTTTTGTAGCTCAAAAGGTTCCAATTCATTAATTGTTATCTAGGTGTTAACTAAAACCAAAGTACAAATTTGATTTATATTTGTAAGAGTATTGTCAAGGGTATTATTTTCTGCTTAGATTATTTGAATTTGCCTCTTCCTTTAGAGGCTGCCACATTTTCCTTCCTTTTTACCTCTGTACCTCTCACAATTATTTACTGCTTAAACCTCAATCAGTGTGCTACTCTGTATCAATGACAATGATACGTTTTCAAAATATGAAGTAGTAAAGGGCCTTTTAAGGGCTTTTATTAAGTGCTTGTGTTGTACTGGAGGAAAAACAAAAGAACTAGATCCTTGCATATGATCTTGTAAGTGAAAGTTAAACATAATTAATGCTATGGTATTTGTTGTATTATCGTTCACAGCAATATAGTGAAGTCATCCATGAGAGGGAAAAACAGAAGAAGATTGATAAACATAAAGAATATGAAGTGGTATGTTTATAAATGACAAAATCATCAATGGGAAAGCTGCCTGTTTATATAGTGAATAGTGTCCTCACCTCAATGACTGAATGCTTTGGTTCTTCATCGTCACATGTGTCCACACCTCAATTACTGAATGCTCTGGTTCTTCATCGTCACATGTGTCCACACCTCAATGACTGAATGCTCTGGTTCTTCATCGTCACATGTGTCCACACCTCAATGACTGAATGTTCTGGTTCTTCATCGTCACGTGTCCACACCTCAATAACTGAATGCTCTGGTTCTTCATCGTCACATGTGTCCACACCTCAATTACTGAATACTCTGGTTCTTCATCGTCACATGTGTCCACACCTCAATTAGTGAATGCTCTGGTTCTTCATCGTCACATGTGTCCACACCTCAATTACTGAATGCTCTGGTTCTTCATCGTCACATGTGTCCACACCTCAATGACTGAATGCTCTGGTTCTTCATTGTCACATATGTCCACACCTCAATTACTGAATGCTCTGGTTCTTCATCGTCACATGTGTCCACACCTCAATTACTGAATGTTCTGGTTCTTCATCGTCACATGTGTCTACACCTTAATGACTGAATGCTCTGGTTCTTCATCGTCACATGTGTCCACACCTCAATTACTGAATGTTCTGGTTTGACCTCCATACAAGGTCAAATGCTTTTAAAGTATGAACACATTTTGTCTTTTAAGAACTAGCATGTAAAAAAGAATGTGAATCCATTACACAGTTGATCAAACCTGATGTTACTGTAATGAAAAGTAAGCAAATAACACACAATTTGTTGTAGCATAGTTTACTGTTACTAAATGATTTCCTGAATTGTCAGCTGATTGATATATTTGCTGTTTTTGCTACAATTAATTTAAAGTTGTTTTAACTGGATCTTTTGTTCTTCCTTCAATCTAACTGATATAGAGACAGTTAGTAATCCCTTGGCTTATTTAATTTTGTCCTGTTCTCAAAGCGAAATTTCCTGTTGAAGGTCTGTGGTTTTCCTAAGGCACTCCACTCATAAAAACTGACCGCCCCGAAATAGCCAACAGTGCTGAAAGTTGCGTTTAACTCCAATCAATCAATCAATCAATCAATCTCATTAGGTGGCTGTTCTGGTTTCTTTATTTTTTTTCTTCATTCAGAAATTTGCTGTTGATGTAAAGTTAGTCATTTAGGTTGTCTCTGCAACTTGTAACAAATTAAAGATGACTCGTTTGAGTTCTTGTTCATTATTTAAAGTCAAGAATTCTGACTATTTTTTTGTGGTAAACTTGTGTTGTGGGTGGGTGTCTAATTGATGTATACTATTTCTTTTTTCTAGTAACAATTTCAAAAAACATTTATAATTGGTTTAAACTTTTTAGCCAAAATTGGAAAAAGACAAGATGAAACTATACATGCAGAAAGCTATGAAGTCAGCATCAGAATGGAATGCAGGTTTTATTAAAGAAAGGAAGACAGAAAGAAGAGCTTATTTTGATCAACAAACCTTTGTAAGAGTACTGACAAGTTCTACAATATTTGTTCTTTAATTGAGAACATTTTCAACAGATAATAGAATAGTTACACAATTAAATTTTATTTAAAAAAATGATTCTTTGTTTTCAAATTAAAATCATTTTATAGAATTGATAAAAAACAAAAATTGACCCCCCCTTTTGGAAGAAAATATTGTGCTGGAGTTTCAGGTCATTGAATATAAAAATGAGAGAATAGATTTTTTGTTTGTTATAGTGTTTTTAACAAAAGTGCATGGATTTTGCTTACAATATCACAACCTGTAAATTAATGTTATTATCAAAATGTTGTTTTTTCTGATTTGCTGCTCATTGCTCATGAGTTATGGGACTTTAATCATAAAGGTTTTGATAATTTTGAAATTCAAGTTCTTTCTAAGTTTGATGATAACCAGATTGTCATTCATGGTTATGGAACTTTGTTTGTCGAAACAAGTTTCAAAGCCAAATTTTAATGTGTTTTTGCCCAATGTCCAGTTCATTTGACCTTTTTCTAACAGTCGCATGGATAATAAAAGCAACCTCACTTTCAATTTTTACAATTTTGAGATTAGTTTTATGAGGTATTGAAATTTTTATGGTTGAAATAAAGTGGAACAGGTGTATCATAAGCCCATTTCGTAGCTGTTATTGGAAACCTTTTATTATTGTGGAATACTATTTTCAGTAGATGGACAATAAAGAAATATATAATGTAACTTATCATTTTTACCTAAATACAAATGTACCACTTTCCTTGAAAATTTATTTTAAATATGTCATTATGAAAACCTCAAGTGTTTTTACAAATTTTTTGATGGGGAAGACTACTTATCCAAATAATAACGTTATAAGTGTGCTTGAAATTTTTATTTCCTGTTTACTACTTGATTTCTGTTCTGATTTCTTTATTTGTAGGATGGTGTTGAATCTATTTTTTTGGTAAGGGGAATTTTGTTTATCATTTTCCCTACATAAGTATCATTTTGCTAAGTCCTTTGAAAGTCAAATTTTAATGCTTTTTGACATAGGAAAGAATTGACTTAGAGTTATTTACCAAATCCAAATATTTTGACATGTCATTATTTGAAACAATTATGATTTCGATAAATAAAAACAAAATATCAAATTTATACATTATCAGTTCTTCTGCTCATAGATGTTAAAGTAAAATATTGACTCTCTCAACAAAATATAGACTTTTTATATTCTGATTTGCAGCTGCTTTTTTTATGATATCTAGGTAGAAAAACCTTATATTCTATACATATAAATTCATTGTAATAGCTATCTATGATCACATACACAGTGTTTTGCTTTGAAAACAGCTTTGTTAGAATATTATGTTTACTTTTTAGCAGCCAAATTAGGCATTCTCCTCTATCTAAAATCAAATGTAATTGTATTTTAAATTATAGTTATTAGAACATTTTTTTTTAGAACATCCACTTTCCTCTGAACAGATATAAGAAATTGTTACCTGAAGATACAAAAATCAGTGCATATCCAGTGGCTTTACTGCCAGGACAGTTCCAAGAAAGTTACAAACAGTAAGTTAATAAAGAAAGGTAGTGGGCATTATGAATTAGAGTAGTATATCTACTACTGTAGACCTTGCTTGAGCAATCTGGTATGGACAATTACCTGGTTTTCATGTTTGTTTGGATATTTGCCCTCTGGATGGATCAGTGAACATTATCTTTTAGCCAAATTGTGATTTTAACCTGTTTGCACATCCATTTCATATTCAACAGATTTTTTTTAGTCGTGCATGAATCTTTCCTACAACCAGATACTATTATTGTCCCCTGTGCAACGCAGCTTCTGTCCGCCCTTGGAAACATTAATTATATGGAAAATTGCAAAGTTAGCCCTCTCATGTTTACAATTCTTGCCAGATTTTTATGAAACTTATATTTTAGGTTTATATCAGCAATGTCTCTGACGAGTTTGAAAATCAGTGCCGATTTTAAAAGAGTTATGCCCCTTGGAAACATTAATTATATGGAAAATTGCATTATTAGTGCTCTCATGTGTACAATTCTTGCCAGAATTTTGTTCCGCCTTGACGGAGTCCAAAAGCGAGACATAGGTATGCTGTTGTCGGCGACGGCGGCGTCAACAATGTATTAGTTTGTGATTAGGTCTAGTTCATGGTGAACCACTAGTGGTAGGTCAGTGATATTTGGTCTGCAGTTGTATTAGCATTGGCACATCTCATTACCATGGAGATTATTTGGCCCCGCCCCCTCATTCATGGTCTATTGACTTTGAAACTTTTGCTTAGTTTTCATGTATTAGTTTGTGATTAGGTCAGTTTAAGGGGAACTGTTATTAGTAGGTCAATGATAATTGGTATGCAGTTGTATAAGCATTAGCACATCTCATTTCCATGGAGAATATTTGATCCTTATCCCTCAGTCATGGTCTATTGACTTTGAAACTTTTACTTAGTTTACATGTATTAGTTTGTGATTAGGTCAGTTTAAGATGAACCACTAATGTTAAGTCAATGATATTCGGTATGCAAATGTATTGGCATTTGCAAGTTTCATTACCATGGAGATTATATAACCCCACCCCCTAATTATGGTTCATTGACTTTGAAACTTTTACATAGTTTACAAGTTAATGTTTGTGTTTAGGTTTGTTTAAAGGGAACGACTTATGAAAAGTCAATGGTATTTGGTTTGCAGTTGTATTAGCATTGGCACATCTCATTTCCATGGAGATTGTTTAGCCCTGTACCTTCAGTTATGGTTCATTGACTTTGAATATTTGCATAACTTACATGTTAAAGTATACATTTGCATTATCAAAATAACAAATAGGCGAGACATATCTCTGTGTTAACAGTTTATTATGAAATTTATATTGTACGTTTATATCAGCAATGTCTCGAAAGAGTTCAAAAATCAGTGCCGATCAACAATTTTTAAAAGAGTTATGCCCCTTGGAAACATTATATGGAAAATTGCATTGTTAGCGCTCTCATTTGTACAATTCTTGCCAGATTTTTATGAAACTTATATTGTAGGTTTATATCAGCAATGTCTCGGACGAGTTCGAAAATCAGTGCTGATCAACTATTTTTAAAAGAGTTATGCTCCATAGAAATATAAATGATATGGAAATTTGCATTGTAAGTGCTCTCACATGTACAATTTTTGCCAGATTTTAATCAAATTCATATCAAAGGTATATTACAGCAATGTCTTGGACAACTTCGAAAATAAGTGCAGATAAAATATTTTTAATGAGTTTCCCTTGGAAATATTAAAAATATCGGAAATTGTGTCAAGTCTTCAACTCTCTAGTAAGATAATTTTAAAAAGTTTTAAAGATAAAAAAAACATTTTTATTTAGTCATTGCCCTTGAACAGAACAGATAAAATATGTGCAATGCGGGGAACATTGGAACTTTTATTAAGTTTGACTGAAAGAAGATGATGGGTATATCTCAGCGAGACAGCTCCCAACAACATGAATATCCAAAAGACATTGATAGGTCAACACACAATACAGTCTTTTTTAAACAATAGACAGATGTCTTTTGTAATTTTTTTCAGTTCATTTGTGACAATTATAGACAATTGATGGATCAGCATAATTACTTTCCTGAAAGAGAACAAACATTTACACTTTTTAGGGGAGAGGGAGAAGTCCAGCTGTAGCAAACAAAACTGATTTTCATGCCCCATTTATGGGTATTATGTGTTTCGGTCTGTGTGTCCATTTGTCCGTCCATTCGTTCGTCCATCCGTCTGTCCGTTCGTCCTTCCCTCCGTCTGTCCCGCTTCAGGTTAAAGTTTTTGGTAAAGGTAGTTTTTGATGAAGTTGAAGTCCAATCAACTTGAAACTTAGTACACATGTTCCCTATGATATGATCTTTCTAATTTTAATGCCAAATTAGATTTTTGACCGCAAATTCACGGTCCACTGAACATAGAAAATGATAGTGCGAGTGGGGCATCCGTTTACTATGGACACATTCTTGTTAATTGTGATGTCACTACAAACTATGACTTGCACACTCTAAACCTATAATGAGTACTTATTCAGATAAGAATTTGTACATTTGCATTCTTCTTATAAAAAATGTACTCCTGAAATGGCAGTGTATAGCAAGTTTTGCTGAAATGGCAGTGTATAGCAAGTTTTCCTGAAATGGCAGTGTATAGCAAGTTTTGTGTTAGTTTGCCTGTTTGTTCATCAGTCTATCTGTACTTTGTACCAAGGAGTAGTTTTTAATGAAATTTCTGAAAATCTCTATTACGGTATACGATGGAATTATCTCATAAACAAAGTTTAGGGGATATATACAAATCACCATGTCCATCTGTCTGTCCGTTTGTCCCGCTTCCTTTTCGGTACACAACATTTGTACTGTAAGACAAAGGTTAATCAAACTTGGTATACAGTTGCATCATGGACTAGGGGGGTGTCACATACCAAAGTCAGGTCACTATGATCTTGACTTTGACCTTTCACCCCTATATTAGTAAAACCTTGTACAATTCGTGTCTGGCTCATTACTTTTGTACTGTAAAACTTAAGATAACCAACCTTAGTATGCAGTTGCATTATGGGATGGAGATGTGTACTGAAGTCAGATCACTTTGACTTGAACTTTGACCTTCGACCACTATGATAGTAAAACCTTATCCCATTTATGTCCGACTCATAACTTTTGTAATTTGCAGTTGCATCATGGGCTTGGAGTGTTTCTTATATCAAAGTCAAAATCTCCAATTTTGAAGATGACCTTTGACCCCTAAAATAGTATCATATCTTTTGTACTGTAAGACTTTTGGTTTACCTAACTTGGTATGCAGTTGCATCATGGGCTTGGAGTGTTTCAAATACCAAAATCTGGTCACTCTGCCCTTTGACCCTTATGATATTTAAACCTTGTATGATTGGTGTCCTGGGTATAACTCTTGTACCATAAAACTTAAGTTGACCAAACTTGGTATGTTGATACATCATGGGATGGGGGTGTGTCATATATCAAAGTCTGGTCACTCTGACCTTGAATTTGGCCTTTGACCCTATGATAGTAAAACATTGTCTGATTTGTATTTGTGGCAAAACTTTTGTGCTGTAGCACATAGATTGACAAATCTTTTTATGCGGAAGAATCATACTGACCTAGACCTTGGCCTTGACCTTTGGTTTCTGAATTTACTGTATACAAACCTCAGACGTTGTTCCTGGGTCAGTACAATTCATTTAGATTGACCTATCATTAACCATGTGTCAATCTAACACAGAGGCAATGATTGTTCAAAATGAATGGCTGAAAACCAAAAATCTCAAAATGTATGCCTAATATTGAATTTCACAGCAGCAACTAAAATGCAAATTTGGGGGTATAAGTCCTGCTGTGTGGACAGCTCTAGTTTTTTAGCTCACCTGGTCGTCGTCGTCGTCCGTCGTCGTTAGCTTTTTACAAAAATCTTCTCTGAAACCACTGAGCCAAATTTAACCAAACTTGGCCACAATCATCATTAGGGTATCTAGTTTAAAAAATGTGTCCGATGACCCCGCCAACCAACCAAGATGGCCGCCATGGCTAAAAATAGAACATAGGGGTAAAATGTAGATTTTGGCTTATATCTCTGAAACCAAAGCATTTAGAGTAAATCTGACATAGGGTAAAACTGATTATCAGATCAAGATCTATCTGGCCTGAAATTTTCAGACAAATCTGACAACCTGTTGTTGGGTTGCTGCCCCTGAATTGGTAATTTTAAGGAAATTTTGCAGTTTTTGGTTATTATCTTGAATATTATTATAGATAGAGATAAACTGTAAACAGCAATAATGTTCAGCAAAGTAAGATCTACAAATAAGTTGTCATGATCAAAATTGTCAGTCGACCCCTTTAGGAGTTATTGCCCTTAATAGTGAATTTTTTACAATTTTTTGTAAATTTTTGTAATCTTTTACAAAAATCTTCTTCTCTGAAACTACTGATACAAATTTAACCATACTTGGCCATAATCATTATTAGGGTATCTAGTCTGAAAAATTTGTCCGATGACCCCGCCTTCCAACCATCATGGCCGACTTGGTTAAAAATAGAACATAGGGGTAAAATGCAGTTTCAGGTTTATATCTCTGAAACTAAAGCATTTAGAGCAAATCTGACATTGGCAAAAATGTTCATCAGATATAGATTTATCTGCCCTGAAATTTTTAGACGAATCCGACAACCCGTTGTTGGGTTGCTGTCCCTGAGTTAGTAATTTTACAAAAATTTTGCAGTTTTTTGTTATTATCTTAGATATCATTATAATATCTAATATCTAATACTATTAATTATGATTTTAACCTTATTTTACATGATTTTCAAAGCATCAGTAAATACAGGTGAGCGACACAGGCTCTTGAGAGCCTCTAGTTTTTATCTTGCTACATGATTTATCAGGATTCTTATATATAAAAAAAAAATGGATTTTGCTATATCTTAACCATGGGAGTAGTTGTATTAATTTGTGAGTTATACTCACAGTTATTCTAATTCTTTTGTCATTTTGAAATAAATGAGAATTGGATATTTTTCCTTAAAGATTATCATGGAAGACGTTTCATTTAAGAAAGAAATGAAAATTCATAATTGTAAACATATAAAAGAAGAGAAAATCCTTGTCTTTTGTGATAGTATATAAGAATTTAAAAAATACTTTCTGTCTTTTAGTTTGTCCAATACATCATATCTGATTTAGTTAGACAACAACATGATACCCAGTTTAATACTTGGTTTAAAAACTACTCCCAATGTATTGAATGTATGTCTAGTTTTAAACAAAGAATTGCATGCATCAACTATCAGTCAGGTATAAGTGGCAATGTAGATCAGTTTGGTTATGGCTAACAAAATTGATCATTTCATTGAAAAGGCTAAGCATTTTATCAATATTTATATTTTGCAGCTACTCTGGAGATGAATTGAAATATTTCCCATTAAACACTGCATTATATGATCCACCTAAGACCATTAATCACATGTTATCTAGTCCTACATCACAAGAAGCTGCATCAGAAGAGGATGGAGATGTAAGTATGCAGGTATATTTTGTTACCTCTTTCGGTTGCTGTTCATTAAAAGGTTGTTACATGATAATATTACATTTTGTGTACAATTCACACAGATTCTGATCTTTTATTGGCTGCAAGACAAATAACCTGATTCCAAAAAATGTATTTCCAATATATGTATAAGCAACCTAAGAATATAATTATTAGCTCTCCCCAACTAATAAATCAACATTATTTTTACGACATCTAGATCTACATTAGGCAAGTTTCACCTGTATGAAGAACGAAATCATGTATGATAATACTAAATTCCTATCATTTTACAATGTCTGCTGAAGTTTTTAACTCAAATCTGAACTATTAGATTCAAGATATTAAAACTAGTCATATTTTGTGAAAATGATATTATATGCTGGTCCTTCATTCAGAGCAATTAAGATTGTTTTTCTTTTAAATTTAATTCATCAAAAAGGCAGTAGACAATCAGATTTTAAAATTGTATTACCACACAATGTTCAGATTGGACAACTTTTGGTGACTACTTGCTGTATATATATCTGCATGTATATACATTTTAGTTAATTTTATGTAGTGTTTGGAAAAATATCGGAGTGACTTCAGTAAGGAAGGTGAAAGTTTACTGATGTGTAGGGTCTTACTGTTATATTTTCCAGGGTAAATCAGGTTCAGACTCTGACAGTGATGATGACAGCTCTAGTAGTTCTGAAGGTAGCAGTGAGGCAGAGGGAGATCAAGAAAAGGTAATAATAATTCTATCTTACTAGAATATAGAGACTCCATGTAATTAACCGGACAACAATGGCTCAAACATTTTAAGCCAGCCCTGCAAAAATTTGTATGTGTATGTACAAACATTTTTTTGGGAATTGGCTTGGCTGTTGTGATAAGGCTGCAGGTGGAGCATTTGTTTTATACCGACACATCAAATCAAATGCAGCAGAATGCAAAACATAGGTTTGCTAAAAGGGTGGCAGCAACAGTGCTTACTAGTTGTATAATGATTTAGCAATTTAGAAGTTGAAGAGCTTGACAATCCGTATTATGTATATAGACATGGCTTATGGCCTTAAGTTTCCTACTTGGTATGTCCGATGTCCTTGACCTCATTTTCATGATTTAATAACTAACTAATATCAATGTTATATTTATGTGATAAGTTTTTATTTTTGAGTAAAGATTGCATGAAATGCAGTCAAAACCCTATTGTACTGACTTGATATCTATATCTTTCAAGGTTTATCACTACCTTTCATAGTTTAAACGAAATAGTGCAGTGAAGTGGTCATTATTTAGATCCTATCCAGTCAATGTCATGCAATTTATTGATGATAGGTTATACTTTGATATTTAAGTTACAATATGATTGTGTATTAGAATTAACATACTTGTCAAGAAAACATTTTTATGGTCCCGCCATTGCGGAGGGGTTATTAACTCTTTCAACACTGCACAACTTTCAATGTATTATACCCTTCAACACTAAGTAACTTTGAGAATTTTCATTTATTTAGGGTAGGTACTTTTAAACTGATGTATATTTGTACTCAGTCGTCCAATTCCATCATATGAGGTATCAAAATAATCAGCATACTTCGTACTTGCTGTACCTGTTTGTCTTATTGTGACTTATGGTGACATACAGGTGAGATACAGGTAAATCTGGTAATTTTGATAAACTGGTGTTTTAACTATGAAATCACTTTTATTTTTGTTTGAATTTATATTGATTTAATAGTTTATGATTATTAAAAAAATAATTGTTATATTGTCTCAATTGACAAAGTATTTGTACTTCGTTAGCAAAGGTAAATGTGTCAACTTTCATGTACGATTTTCGGATTGCGTTCAAATTAGTTAAATTGACAATAGAAGTGAAGACTTCTTTAGTATAAAAACATTGAAAATAGTTCAGGGCAGATACTGTCAAAATTTCTAACTTGACCAACACGTTCCCTAAATTCACAAATGTTTCTTTGAGTTTCTGTCTTTCTCCATGTGTCAAAATTTTTGGCAACATGTCAGCGGCTTCAAACCCCTCATAAGTCATCTTCATCATCACTGTCCCCTACTATATTTCTCCATTGCCTTTCTAATTCATTTCTGTCAGCTTTATAAACATTTATTAAGTCTAATTAGCCGAGATAATCAATAATTTTGTCTCCTGACAGTTTGTTTTCACTATCGATATCCGCCATTTTGTGTACAAAATTTCCAAAAATTTTCATCGCTAATAATAGACCAATATTTACTATATTTTCCTTTAAAAGTACAGAAAAGGTCAGAGAAACTCGAATGAATGATTATGACGATAGTATGTTACTTCAGAGGGGTTTTCCCAACGACTGACCAATGGAAATCTCGAATTAAAAAAAGTAGCATGTGCAGCCCGGTAAAGCGGGCTATAGTGTTTACGGAAGTAAAATTGATTTCCTGGTAAACCGGGTCATAGTGCTGAAAGAGTTAAGTTTTACGTATGTCCCAAAATTGGTTTCCGTTCTCTTTATTTTGCCTCAACCAAATGTTATGAAACTTATACACAATGCTTATTACCACAAAACACAGATCACGTTTGAATTTGGGTAGCGACACTTTTACCTTTCTAGAGTTATCACTATGCCCCTTTACAAATGGAAAAATTGCTGAATTTTTCATTTCAGTTCTCTTAAGTTTGCTTCAACCAAATGTTATGAATCTTATACACATTGCTTATTACTGCAAAACACAGATCATTTTGAATTTTAGTGGAGTCACTTTTACAGTTCTAAAGTTATGTCCCTTTACAAATGGAAAAATTACTGAATTTTTCATTTCCGTTTTTATAACTTTAGTTTGCCTCAGCCAAATGTTATGAAACGTATACACAATGCTTATTACCACAAAACACAGATCAAGTTTGAATTTTGGTGGCGTCACTTTTACTGTTCTAGAGTTATGCCCCTTTACAAATAGAAAAATTGCTATATTTTTCGTTTCCGTTCTCTTAAGTTTGCCTCAACCAAATGGTATGAAACTTATACACAATGCTTATTACCACAAAACTCTGATCAAGTATAAATGTGGGTAGCGTCACTTATACGGCTCTTGAATTATATCCCTTTATAATGTTATATGCAAGAGGGGGCATCATCTGTGTCCCATGGACACATTCCCCATTTATTTTATTAAAAATTACATAAGTAATGCATGGTGTATGAATCTGTTGTAAAACTACAAATGTACAATCATGAACAAAGAAAGATAACTCCAACTAAAATTTTTAATTTGCCTAGCAAAATACAATTCAATGCTTTATTTAAAAATTCACAAAATTGCAAAATGAAAGCAATCTTTACCCTTTAGTGCTCACACTTTTATTAATTCTTAAGATTATTATTTAATAGGTCCATCTTATTTGTTCCATTAATGAATTAATAAGCCACATGCTAAAATTTAATTAAAAAAATGATTTAATCATTGTAGGTATAATGTTAAATAGATTTGTAATTTAATGATGCATTCGTATGCATTCAATATTATTCATGGGATACCAATTTTCGTGGATTTCGTTGGTATTGGTAATGCACAAATCTATATGTTGAACGAAATGTTAATTTGATACAGGCTTGTATGCAGACTTTGGCAAAACCACGAAATCAAATATCTACGGAAAGACAATTTTTCCTCAATCCATGAAAATTGGTACCCATGAAAATATATGAATCCACATTATTATTTTTGTAGAAGGAAGAAGCAGCAGAAACAGGATGTAGAGTTTGTAATTTAGAAGCAGAAGAAGAATCTGGAACAAAAGAACTTGTTCAGTGTTCAGAATGTGCCAGACATGGTTTGTACTTTGCCTAAAATTATATTTTCTTGTCATAGCCCAAACAACCCTGGAAGAATGCAGATCAGAAATTCCTTCCATCATTTTTTCAGTTTTCAATATTTTGACACCTAGAATTTTTGAATCAAAGTCCTATAAAGAAAAATGTTTAATTTTGATGCACACAATAGTGTTTCTGAACTAACCTTGATCAGGTTCAGTGAAGGCCAATTATTGAAATGACTACTAGTATCATTAAAGAGTTTGACTCCTGTTTCATTTTCAAGCTTTACACCTTATATAATGTTTGTATGTCATATGAAAATATTATAAAGTTTTACCATATTTTTTTTCAATGCTGACAAAGTATTTCAAAAGTTGAACAGATTTAGATTTCACTTAAATTTTTCATGAGAATTGTCTGATTGTAATACTGTTATGTATCTTCATTAATATGACTTAAAAATTCTTTGATAAAGGATAGTATTTCACCAAAGATTGTAGTTATTGAAAGAAAACAATTTCTTTTGTAGTCATATTAATAATCAAAGAAAGAACATTTCCTGCCTTATTTGGCCCAACATTCAAATTATACCAAAAATAATATTTGATATAATTAATCATAATATTTCAAACTGCAGAATAAAACCTTTAATTATAAGCTTAGGTGTTATGACATAATATGAAGTCAGAGAGAAGGTCTGTCAGGTTTTTAATTTAAAAAATTAAACATTTTAGCTTAATTTATATAACATTGACCTCATTTGTCACTTGAAATAAGGGGAAAATATAAGCATAAACAGGGCCATGTGCTATATTATTTCTCATAAAATTCAAGTCCTACAGTTAAGTTTTTGTGCAATATTACTCTTTTTCTGGATTTAGTGTCACTTATGACTACATATGATGACATATGAAAAGAAAATAATTTATACAAAACATGCTGTGTGTTATAAAAGTAGATAGATGTAACTACAAATATATGAAATTGGAGAAGTATTGAAATTCTGTTGTTAGAATTTCTGATTTTACCTGAAAATCCTACGTTCTACTTATACTGCAAACAAGATTGAAATAAACATTTTATTATCTTTAAAACTGATTTAATAAGTTTTCTATGCATGAAATGATGAAAAAGGGGACAAGGTGTAATTTAGTGATAGTACATGTTTTGTACCACAATACTTTTATTGCTATTATTTATCTTGAATCTTGTTGAGAAGACTACAGCACTTAGTTAAATTAATTACTATATAGCAAGGTCAGTTCAGCAGCTAAATGTTTACTTCATACCAGTTAACCAACATGATATTTTTAGGTCACCCTGCCTGTTTAGATATTACAGATGATATGGTAGCAGTTATAAAAACTTACCCTTGGCAATGTATGGAATGTAAAACATGTGTAGAATGTATGGATCCTTTTGACGAGGTGAGTTAGTGTATTGAATGTAAAACTTGGCAGGTCTTGATAATATTCGTTAAATTTACTCACAACTTATCTACACTCCAGGTGATTTATGGCTTGACTTATAATATAGAGCATAATTATGAGTTACAGATAAAATTCTGTTACTTTCAGATGACCCTTATTTAGGTCACCTAGCCCACAGGGCCAAGTGAGCTTTTCTCATCACTTGGCGTCCGTCGTCGTAGTCGTCAGTCATTATTGTCTGTTATTTTTTGCAAAAGTCTTCTCCTCTGAAACTACTTGGCCAAATTTAACCAAACTTAGTCACAATCATCATTTGGGTATTTAGTTTTAAAAATGTGTCGGATGACCCCACCTGCCAACCAAGATGGCTGACATGGCTATAAATAGAGCAGAGGGGTAAAATGCAAGTTTTGCCTATTATTTTGAAAACCGCTAAAAATAGAGAAATTCTGACTGAGAGAAAAATCTTCAGAATGTTGAGCTCTACCTATTATCCATGTTCATCAAAACTGTCAGACGACTTCTTGTAGGAGTTATTGCCCTTAAATGAAGAATTTTACCATTTTTTGTCAAGCCTGCGAAAAAAGCTTAATATTTTAGAAGGTAGAAGACCTGGATGCTTCATACTTTGTATATGGATGCCTCATGTTATGAAGTTTCTGTCTAACATATGTTCATTGTCCTTGACCTCATTTTCATGGTCCAGTGTCTACTTGAAAAAAAAGATTTTTTGTAATTTTAATTTCTCTCTTATTATGAGTAATAGGATAACTATATTTGGTATGTGCATACCTTGCAAGGTCCTCATGCCTGTCTGACAGTATTCACCCGTCCTCATTTCATGGATCAGTGAACAAGGTTAAGTTTTCGTGGTCTAGTCCATATCTCAAATACTATAAGCAATAGGTCTACAATATTTGGTGTATGTAATGATTGTAAGGTGTAGATGTCCAACTGGCAGATGTGATCTGACCTTGACCTCATTTTCATGGTTCAGTGGTTATAGTTAAGTTATTGTGTTTTGGTCTGTTTTACTAATACTGTATGTAATAGGTCAACTATATTTGGTGTATGGAAATATTTTACAATGTACATGTCAGTCTGGCAGGTTTTATTTGACCATGACGTCATTTTTATGGTTCATTGCTCAATGGTAAGTTTTTGTGTTTTGGTCTGTTTTTCTTAAACTATCAGCTATAAGCAAAAGGTCAACTATATTGGGTGTATGGAATGATTGTAAGGTGTATATGTCTGTCTGGCAGGTATCATCTGACCTTTACCTCATTTTAATGGTTCATTGGTCAATGTTATGTTTTACTGGTTCAGTTTATTTCTTAGATACTATATGCAATAGGTCAACTATATTCGGTGTATGGAATGATTGTTAGGTGTACATGTCTGTCTGGCAGGTTCTTCTGACCATGACTTCATTTTTATTGTTCATTGGTCAATATAAAGTTTTCATGGTTTGGTCTGTTTCTTGTATACTATAAGTAATAGGTCAACTGTATTTGGTGTATGGAATGATTGTAAGGTGTACATGTATTTCTGGCTTGTTTTATCTGACCGTGACCTCACTTTCTTGGATCATGTTAAGCTTATGTAAAACTTTATATTTAGGACTATCAACATAAAGTCAATGGTCAGTAAAGCAGGCGAGTCATTTCAGAGTAAGCACTCTTGTTTAACATTATTGCCTATTATCTCAAAAAATATAATAGATAGAAACTTAAAATAGCAGAAAAGACGAGATCCACAAAGAAATCAATATGACCAAAATCATCAGACAACTCCTTATTAGAGTTTTGCCCTTTACTAACGATTTAACCAATTTTTATCTCGCCTTGACAGAGTCAAAAAGCTTGAAATAGGAATGCCGTTTCGGGTGGCGGTGGCATCAACAATGTATTTGTGATTAGGTCAGTTTATGGGGACCCACTCAGTTATATTTGTAATCAAGGATATTAAGTATACAGTTGTATTAGCATTGGCACATCCTATTTCCATCCTAGTCACGGTTCATTGACTTTGAATATTTTGCATAACTTACATGTTAAAGTATTGCTATTTTGATTTCAACAATTGCATTTTACTATCAAAATAATGAAAAGGTATCTCTGTGTTAACAGTTTATTTGCGTTATTGCATAGTGTCTTAAAAACTATAATAGATAAACAGAATCTTTGAAAGGAAAAATGATCAGCACAACAGGATCTACAAATACTGTAAATTCAGAAATTATTGCGATGTTTTTATTATTGCGAAAAATGCGACAGGGTTATAATCGCAATAATTTAAACTCGCATTTTGAAATATTTTATATGAATTAAACAGGATTTTTCTCAATATCGCAAAAATTAAAATCGCATTTTAGTCTAAAATGACAAAATCGCAATAATAAATGCACGCAATAATTTCTGAATTCACAGTAAGTCATCATGAGTGAAATCTTCAGTTGACACCTTATTAGAGTTATTGCCCTTTAATGACAATTTTTACCAATTTTTTTCGTTTTTGCCTAATATCATAAAAACTGTAATAGATAGATAGAAACTATAACTATCAAAAATGATGAGCAAGACAAGATCTACAGATAAGTTAACATGACTGAAATTGCAAACGACTCCTTATTGATGTTATTGCCTTTTAATGATGATTTTTCCCTAATTTCATCCTATTATCTTGAAAACTGTAATAGATGGATAGAAACTTTATATAGCACAAATGATCAGCAAGACAAAATCTACAAATAATGGCAGAAATCTTCAGTCGACTTGTTATTGGAGTTATTGTCCTTTGATAATTTTAAACATTTTTTTGCATCTTTTGCCTATTACAAGTATCTTAAAAACTATAATAAATAATAGGAACTTTAAAAAGAAAAAATTATCAGCAGGATAAGATCTACACATATGTCAACATGACTGAAAATGTCAGTTAACTCCTTTAGAAATAGAGTTATTCCCTTTTAATGATGATTTTAACTAAAAAGTGGCTATTGTTGAGGATGCAGGTGAGCAACACCGGCTCTTTAGAGCCTCTAGTTGACACAACATTACTGCCCTTGGGTTTTGGCAGCAGATAAATTGTATCCCTTTCAGTGAAGTAGTAAAGGATATAATGTTTATGACCTATCTGTTCTAATATTACTTTGTTGTTGTCTAGTTTGCACGTTAGTGTCTTTTCCCCTTCAAATTTAAAAGAAGTTTATTCTTATCAGCAGTGTTTCAGCTTGGTCGTTTTCACAGGGCCGTCGGGCCCACCCTTTCACAACAGCTGCCCTGTGCTCTTTATAAGACGCCCTGCCCTTTTTCGCAAGTCCATGTCTTTATTGTCGTAATATTTTGATGAAAATACTATAATTCTACCTGTCTTCAAGTTTATGACCCTAACTAATTAACATTTGCAGCAGGTGTTATAATTTGTGATTACAAGTAATCCGCTTATCACCATCATATGGGTCACTAATCCGTTAATTAAACCTCATAATTGACCATTATAATTATTTTTCCCAGTAAAAGCAGTCAGTCAGCATTTCAATTTCAATATTTCTCAAAAGACCACAATTTGCAGTTCGTTTATCCATGGCAAAGATCGTTTTGTAGCTTCGTCAATTGAACAAAACTATTTTTCCTCTGGCAGTTCGCAATCGCATTTTGATTTCAAATTTTTTCTCTAATGATCACTAATTGCAGGTCGGTTGAGGTATTTTTTTGTCATTTGAACGTATTTTCGTCACATTTTATATAACTTTTTATTAAAATATTTATGACAATTTCGTTTATAAAGATAAAACTTTATTCATAACATTCAAAAATATTTTCACGAGTCAAACAGGTGCGTTCTTTATTATGTACCGTGCATGCGTGAACGTATTCTTATAAATATAATAGACACTTAAACGTAAAATACAAAATCATTTAGTATCAAATTAAACGAGAGAGATAAATATATTTCCCTACTGAGCAACTTAATTTTAAAAAATGATAATTTTCTGCCTTTTTGTTAAACACGAACCAATCCGTAGATGAATCCGGATTCATTCTAAATTTACTATCCTCTTGTTACTTCCTGTTTTCATTTCGTTTAATAATCAAAAGTAAATGTGATCTCTTCTTGATAAATTAAAAAATTTACAGTCATTTTAATCGTTCCATGTTTATAAAAATGAATTCCAAATATTGATTTTTTTTATCAGGATGTCCTCTGAATATAACAGAAATTGTGAACTAGATCCTTGTTCTAATATTCATATTTAAGCATCACACCAGTCAAATCATGCCATGACTGCCTACATTTTAGCATGCCTAAAGCATAAAAAGATCCTGGTCCTTGAAGGACTTGACCATATGTATAGCTAGATATATAAGTCCTTGGTCCCATACTGTTACCCAAAATAAGATTGATTTTCATCTTGCGTAATAGTGACTAAAGCCCTCAAACTCCTAGCTGAAACCCCTGCTGTTTACATAAGGCTATGTTAGACATGCCCTTTTGAATTATCAATCCGCGTGCTAAAGTGCCCTTTTCGTGATTGGCTCCCTGCCCTTTTGAAATCCTGGCTGGAACACTGATTTAGTATCTTGAATGATAATAAGATTAACCAAAAAATTGAAAGTTTGAAATCATTTCAGGTGAGGGGACATCAACATATTTCACATTTAATATTTTTTTAGTGTTGATCAAATTTGAGTGTAATTTACACTTATCCAAACCAACCTTGGATGAATATTGTAAAATTGGAAATTGGAAACCATTTTTGGGATGATGATTTGATGAGCAAAAAAAAACAAAAAACTATTATTTTTTTCCTTTGATAGTTTCTTTTTGTAGATATGCATATTTACTCTTAATAAACATAGGAAAATTGGAAATTTGCATTATTTTGGGGGATGGGTTTGTGGGTGGGTGCCTTTTTTTTCTAGTCAGATAACAAAACTGAATGTAAAATTTATCCGCATTTAAAAGTTTGATGAGTAACATAAAACAACATTTTTTAAAATTCTTCTAATAAAACACATGTTGTATTGAGATATGATATGTTTTTTCTAACTTTTTTTTGCAACATCTTCTTGCAAAGTTGGCCTTTTGGTTTTGATGCTTTTTATGTTTATGGTATTTCATCCATGCTTTTTTTGCTTTTGTTCTAGAATATACAAAAGTAATGTTCCTCAAGAAACATGTGATGCAATCTGTATCATATGTTTATTTAAATAGATTGTGGTAACTGACAGCTTAAACTATTCATTAAATATTAGATTCATTAAAATCTTCCTTCATTGCTACAACAATCAGGTTTTATTTTGTCAATTTATTTTTCAGAAGAAAATTGTTTCAAAGTATCGTAAGAAAGTTAGTGTTTTAATATGTAAATCTTAGAGCACTAATGAATGGCTTTAGTTCTCATTATCACAAACTATTACTGATTTTGTTATGTCATTGAAGATACAATGTATTATTGAGTTGCATGTAATCAAAGTCGATATGTTGTTGGCAAGGTAGATAAAAAAGCACAATGCACAATAGATTTGCAGTTGATAAAGTTGTTGTTCAAGTGTTTGATTAGTTTTTGTTGTAATTCAAGTTCCATACTGCTATCATCATTGTATTAGTTTAATTTTTGAATTTATTTATTATACTTAAACAAAAGAGGTAGGGATGAAACCTAAAATATAACATTTTTTCTCTACCTATATAATTTGCCATACAATATGATTAAAATGCAGATCCTGTGTCCAAGCTATGCTTACAAGGATTTTAAAATGTGTCATTCTACTGTCTGTTTTAAAGACCTTTTGGGATCCTCTGGTTTTATCTGATTAACACACACAGTCAAAAACATACCTGCCAACCTCTGAAACCTTCAAAGAGGGAGATCTCCCCCTCAGCTGTCATATTTCTTCTTTTTTACACTGCCGCTTGGTCCATACAAAGACTTCTATCTTGTTGGAGTTGACATAGCAGAACTGAATTTTGATTACTTATATATCAAATATAAAAACTACTGACCAAAGTTTTCAAATGATCGCCTATTGTTTATTTATTTTTATTGAAAGTAATGAAAACGCCAGAGAATTACGAATGCGGCTATTCCAGGTCAAAATAACCGAAAGCGGGTGATTTTATTAGCAGGAGCAGACCAGCTCAAAACGGGAGGGTTGGCAGGTATGCAAAAATGTGTAGGCTGAAATTTCATTGGCTGATAAATAATTAACTGAACAGAAAATAAAATGGAGTGTTGTCATATTCTTGTAAGCATAGCTGGACACAGGATCTGCATTTTAATGAGATTGATTACCATATGGTAGTGTTGTCATTGCTTACATTTTCAAAAAGGTTCACAGCCCAAACTGGTAATGTAGAAAGTATTGGCATTTCACTTAGTCCTACTTCACATATGGAATAAGAGAAAGCATAACTAAAATGAAAATTTTAGTGTGCAGCATACTGTAATTCAAATTAAAAAATGATGAAACATTTTTGAGAAAGAAAAAAAAGACCAATCTGTTGAAAATATTGTTTTGGAGTGAAATAACAAGGATACATGTCAGAAATCTGACTGCCACTAAGCACAATTTATATTTTACTTTCAGGATAAAATGATGTTCTGTGACAAATGTGATAGAGGTTATCATACATTCTGTGTTGGACTGAAGTCAATACCAAATGGTCCATGGAAATGTCAAAGTTGTAAAGGACCAGAAACACTCAAAACACCAAAATCTGCTTCAAAGCGAGGAAGGTTAGTAGAAGAACATGTCCAAAAGAAATAAACAATTTTTGTCATGAAATGAATGTCACAAATTTGTTGCCAAGACGAGACATGGTTGTTACTTTTCCAGCATGATCATTATTAAAGGGGCACTAGCTACGAGATATATAAAAAATCTAAAGTATGTTTTTTTTTTGTTCAATCATTAATGAAAGTGAAATAGTGAAATAATAATTTGCTTTTAGCAGCCAGTATGGTTCAATTTTGTCAAAATAAGCTAAGAGACGTTGATGATGAATTCTTCACTTGTAAGTGAATAATTTGACCTCATTGAATCCGTATTCATGTGAACTTCAATCTAACCCCTTAGCTAGAGATGGATAACACATGCTTTGTGCGTGTTAAGTTATTTAAAGGAAAAAAATGTCAACATTCAAAGTCGAACAAAGGTAAATCATTTGATTTACTGATTCGATCCACAAAAAATCATTCTTATACAGGTAAAAACGATGGAGTTCACTTACTATTTATATCTATTTTTATGAGGGGCCTCGGTGGCCGAGTGGTCTAAGTAGTTACTACTGTAATCACTAGCCAGTCAACACTGAGGTTGTGAGTTCGAACCCTGCTCGTGCGGGTGCACTCGACTCCAATCTTAATTGACTAGGATTGTCAGTTTTCCTATCGAAGGTCGGTGGTTTTCTCTGGGCACTCCAGCTTCCTCCACCAATAAAAACTGGGTGCCACGAAATAGCCCAAAAGCGGTGCTTTAAAGTGGCGTTAAAACACCAAAAATAAAAAATCAATCAAATCTATTTTTATGTTTATATCGCTTATATGACCATCGGAGGTATTCGGAGGTCAACTCGATAGTTAATTAGATGGCATCAAGACTAAAATACACAGGAAACAAAGTACATATTATCGAGCCCACAACCTGTAAATTCTTTATTTTAGACTTTTTATAATTTGGATAAATGTTTTACATGGTTATAAATCAAATATGAGAATTTGAGTCAAATCGGTAAACATGAATTTGACAGCTAGTGCCCCTTTAACACGCAATCTTGTCATGATCCAGTGATTTCAGAATTTAAAGATTCTTTTTGTTATAAAAAAGTTGACCTTCAATGGTTCTGTTTGTTCTTCTTGGTCATTGCCTGCTGAATTTAGAGGTGCATGAAAAAGGATATCTACTCAAATTTAAATGTAGTTGTGTGTCATTTAATCAAAGTAATTTGTTTTATTATGCTGCAAAACAGTAGTGACATTTCTCGTGCTAACAGTTTTATTGTTCATGGTTTACCACTACCACATTTAAGGTTGCAAACATTTTGTTTTCTGTAAAACAGTTTAACACATAGAATTGATGGTTTTGTGATTTATGTATTTATCTTGTTCTTAATTAAGGGTAAAGTGTTGATGAAACTGAAATCTTTTAAATGATAAGAATTTATAATCTCACTGGTAGTAGAATCTCTAGGTCTCATATTGCTACATAATCATCATCTTCCTTGACTATGACATGGGGAAATGGGGAAACCTGTGATGATTTAGTTATGATTTTGTAATATTTGTTTGATACAACTTTGTTGTTTAGTGGCTATTCAGGGTTACATATAAATGGCTTTATTCAATGTCAATTGTAAGGCATTTTTATATGACCGCAAAAATTTTTTTGTGGTCGTATATTGGTATGACGTTGGCGTTGTCGTCGTCCGAAGACACATTGGTTTTCGCACTCTAACTTTAGTTTAAGTGAATGGATCTCTATGAAATTTTACCACAAGGTTCAATACCACAAATGGAAGGTTGGGATTGATTTTGGGGGTTATGGTACCAACAGTTAAGAAATTAGGGGCCAAAAATAAGCATTTTTGTAACTTCCAGACATAACTTATGTGTTAGTGTATGGATCTCTGTGACATTGTACCACAAGGTTCCATATCACAAAAGGAATGCTGGGATTGATTTTGGGGGTATTTGCCTCAAAATTTTAGGAATTAGGGGCAAAAAAAGGGGCAAAAAACAAGCATTTTTCTAGTTTCATGACAATAACTTGTGTGTAAGTGTATGGATCTTTCTGAAATTGTACTACAAGGTTCCATATCACAAAGGGAAAGCTGGAATTGAGTTTGGGGGTAATTGCCCAAAACGTTTAATAATAAGGGGCCAAAAGGGGGCCAAAAATAAGCATTTTTCTAGTTTCCAGACAATAACTTGTGTTCAAGTGTATGGATCTCTCTGAAATTATACTGCAAGGTACCATACCACTAAAGGAAAGGCTGGGATTGATTTTGGGGGTAATTGCCTCAAAATTTTAGGAATTAGGGGCCAAAAAGGGGAAAAAAAACAAGCATTTTTCTAGTTTCAGGACAATAACTTGTGTGTTAGTGTATGGATCTTTCTGAAATTGTACTTCAAGGTTCCATATCACAAAGGGAAAGCTGGAATTGAGTTTGGGGGTAATTGCCCTAAATGTTTAGGAATTTGGGGCCAAAAAGGGGCAAAAAACAAGCATTTTTCTAGTTTCCAGACAATAACTTGTGTTCAAGTGTACGGATCTCTCTGAAATTGTACTGCAAGGCACCATACATTGTAACACAAAGGGAAGGCTGGGATTGAGTTTGGGGGTGATAAACCATAAGGGGGTTCAAAAAATTTGAGCGGGGATTTTTTTTTCCTTTGTTTTCTTTAAAATTTTCCATTTTAAATTGGTTATTTCTGATTTATATAAAAGCAAATAGTAATGATATGGTTTGAATAGGTAAATTAAAAATTTTTTAAGTTCTTAGACCACATTCATTCTGTGTCAGAAACCTATGCTGTGTCAAATATTTAATCACAATCCAAATTCAGTGCTGTATCAAGCTTGAATGTTGTGTCCATACTTGCCCCAAGAGTTCAGGGTTCGACCTCTGCGGTCGTATCAAGCTGCGCCCAGCCGAGCATTTTATTACTGCCTAGATATATCACTCAAACAGATTTAATTAATAACTAAGAGAAATAGAAATAAGTATTATCACTTACAACTTAATAAGGCACTCTGTTTAGTTGAATTGATCTTCATGGCATCAAATTAAGTAGATAGAATTGTGTACCAAATAAAACCAATGCATTTGCACAAATATATACACTTATACCTCAGGGAACCTGGATATTTTACACATTTAAAAAAACAAATTTTTGGACAGTTTTTCTGTCAGCAGTATTTAATGCGTTGTTTTTCATCATTAGACATAGACTTCCATGCTAATTTTGCAAACAATAACTGACAAAATGTACTTTTTGTTGAGGAACATTGCTATCTGATGCATTTTAAGGATTTACCTTGAGGAATGTTATAACCAAAAGTTTAGAAATCCAAAGACTTAAAATTCATGTTTGCAAGGTTCATTCAATTCACAGTGAGGTCAGGTTTTTATAATAATCTTTTTATTTTTTGCAGAGGTAGAGGTAGAGGACGTGGTCGGGGCTCAGGAAGAGGACCTGGTAGACCTCCCAAGAATTTACAGAATTCTCCAAAACCAACCAAATCTCCAAAACGTGCAAACTCTCCCCAACCAGTAAGTTCTCCTAAACCAGCAAGTTCTCCTAAACCAGCAAGTTCTCCTAAACCAGCAAATTCTCCTAAACCAGCAAATTCTCCTAAACCAGCTGATACAAGTGTTAATAATGAATCCAGTTCAGCAGAAAGTTCCCCACCTGCTACAGAATCACAAGAAGAAACGAGCTAATTTCCAGGTTCTTAAAGACTGCATAGAAAATATTTTTACTATGAAAAAAAAATGTTGTTCATTGTTGTTTTCTTAATTTCATCTAACTGTGATGTATCCATTATTTGAATTCAGAATTATGTTGAAACTAAGAGTTAAGATTGGATTAAAAATTTAATTGACTGGCTTGATTACTTGTTAACCTAATTGTTTCTGATGTTATGTGAAGACCCTGGAAATTAATGCAATATAATTTTTATGCCCCCGCCGCTAGGCGAAGGGGGCATTAAGTGTTACCCTTGTCCCTCTGTACGTACGTATGTCCCAAAATTGGTTTCCGTTCTTTAGTTTGCCTCAACCAAATGTTATGAAACTCATACACAATGCTTATTACCATAAAACACAGATCAAGTTCGAATTTCACTTTTACACTTCTTTTGTTATGTCCCTTTATAACGTTATATGCAAGCGGGGGACATAGACACATTCTCCATTTATTTGTACTGAACTATACTAAATACTTTAATGATACCAATATGGAATAGTTTTAATTCCCCATTACTTGTCTTATTTTGTGATAGAACAGTAAAGGATCAAATCTAAAATATTTTAACTAAATGTGAACTGGAATTGACCTGTCTAAATATATTCAATCACACTTAGTAAATAACTGTTAAGACTTGGTTGGTCACTAGCACTCATATTAGAGTCAAAAACAAGTAAGTAAGTTTTTATACATCTAAAGTTAAATCCTTTTATAAGAAAAGCTAGACACAAATTTTATTTCATTTTCTCACATGGTGATGCATCGACTTTGTCAGGATGCTTTTGTTAATCAGAATAGTAAGAATACTGGAACTTAGTCCAGAATCAACCTTTTCTTTCATATATCTTTATATCATGAAACATACAAGGGGCATTGAGTCTTACCGACAGGTTACTTCCAGTGCAAAACAATAAAATTCTGTTCTCTCATGAAAATTCAGACCCAAAAGACTTTGTTTGGGGACATTCTTTTTTCTAGTTTCTCAATTGATGATATATATATATATCATTCCAGTATGTTTGTCAAAAGGAAATGTCTCATGGTGCTATATACCATTAATATTGTTTATTTGTGTGATATATGTTTATAATTTTCTTTGTTCATTTGCATATTTTTACTACGAAATTTTTGTATAAATTGAGTTAAATGAAATATTTGTAATTGCATAAAATGTAAACCTTGATACATTTATACAGAGTATCCCAATGTTTTGATGTAGTGAAGAGTAATTGATAGCTCTTAGGCACCTAGATATAAAAACATGTGTTAAATGATTTTTCATTTACTTTAATGTTCAAATTGGTACTTTTTAAGAAGTATCTGTATTTTTGAAAACTGTTGTATGTAGTAATTTTACTAATTAAACAAATGAAAACCTTAACTTTCACATTTTGGTTCTTTCTTCAGTGCTTACTGTAAATTCAGAAATTATTGCGAGGTTTTTATTAATGTGAATTATGCGACTGTATGAGTATCGCAATAATAAGAACTCACATTCTGATATCTGATGCATATATCTGTATGCAGCTTTTCCTGAAATCGCAATAATTAATCTCGCATTTATGTCCATTCTTCAAAAATCGCAATAATAAATGCACGCAATAATTTCTGAATTTACAGTATCCAATACATTTATTTTATACAACAACTGCTAATGACATAGAATATGATGGATTTTCTATCTTGAACTTGAGATTAATTTCTAAAAATATTACAGTAGTATATTTCACCACTAAAGTGATCTTATATCACATCATTCACTTTGACTTATGGGTTCAGCTTTATTTCTTAGTAACCTTATGTTGTATTTCCATGATACTCTACTGCTATAATAATCTTGTCTCTAAGAATACAACCCAGTTCCAGTCTGCAACATTTTGGTCACTTAGAGCCAAAGCACATGTGTAACAACTTATTAATTATATCAGAAACCCATGAAGATTTATCACTGATTTTTCTAACAATGAATTCATCTTACACATTACAAATTCTGCTAGCTTTGGATTTAACCATACTGACTGGTGAGTTTTGTGTTTGGTTCCTTTGAATTATATGTAAGCAAAAGTCAGTAATTATCTCACAAAAGACATTCATGCCATACTTGTTGTATACCGGTTCAGATCCTCTGTAAAATTTAGAGCCAATTCAAATTGAGATAGACATGTTTAATATCTGAACAGAATCCAGTCATCACCATCCATTAAATTTACCCAAAATTAAGAGCCTGCTATTGGATGAGGTAGATTTATATAAATATAAATATGGAGGTATGTGGTATGAAAGCCAATGAGACAACTATCCACCAGAGAACAAGGCTGTCAACAACAATAGCCCCCCCCCCCCCCCACATGATAAAATTTAAAACAATTCAAAGAAGAAAAAAAACAACTGCCAATTTTATGTTAATATCAATGAATGAAAAATAAATATGGCAGATAGCAACCAACAACCACTGAATTACAGGCTCCTGACTTAGGTCAAGCACTTAAAGATTGGGGCATGGTGAAACATGTTTTTTTTTAAAATGATATGGGTTTTGTTCTTCTCGTATAATTTATGATGGCATGATACTAAATCCTTAAAGAGAGGGATTGTGGTTGATTTTCATATGATGAAGACATAATCTTTCCATCAGTTTTATTGATTGATTGATTGTTGGTTGCTTAACGTCCAGTGTCAGTTTAATTGAGGTCTGGAGCTGGCATGTCAGTAACTGCCAGTAGTCCTTTGTTAATGTATGTTGATCATTGTCATTTTGCTAAGTTTCTTTTGTTACTTATTCTAAAATCGAACACAGACTTCTTTTTAACAGTTTTACTGTGCGTATTGTTTTATTTTTGTTTATTCCACATTGGCTAGAGGTATAGGTGGAGGATTGAGATCTCACAAAACATGTTTAACCCCATCACATTTTTGTGTCTGTCCTAAGTCAGGAACCTGTAGCCTTTGATAGTCTTGTTTTTATTAAAATTTGATCATTTGTATGTTTTTGGAGTTAGGTGTGGTGTCCATTTCACCAAACTATTAAAAATTAATGTTTAGGGGCCAGCGGAAGCCCTCATCTGGGTTTGGGATTTTCTAGCCTCATTGAAGACCCACTGGTGGCCTTGGGCTGTTTTCTGCTCTTTGATTAGGTTGTTGTCTCTTTGACACATTCCCTGTTTCCATTCTCCATTCTATTGAGAGTTCTCAACTCTCCCCTAACCTGGGAGAGTGATATAACAGCACAACATTAGAATAAACTATAACACTAGGCTGTCATTTTCAAACCAAATTTTCTATTTGTTTAAGCAATGAAAGGCAATAACTCGAACAGCAAAACCAACACGTTCGATATCTTACTTGATCTCCATTTTGTCATTAATAACAACATGAAAATGAGAAAAGCATTGGTTGAATGGTTCATTAGTTATTGCACAGAAACAACATAAAGTGACATTTTCCATTTCATCCAAGACCATGACTTTAGAACTGCAAATGTGAAAATACTAGTAGCCAATATTGAACTTGACCTAAATTTTGTCATCAATATCAAACTATTAAAATTTGAAAAGCATTGGTTAATCAGTTTATAAGTTAATGCACATAAACAACTGGACTGCACATCTGCCATACAACTGTTCACTACAACCGTATATCAATAACCAAATTTTTGTCTGATCATATTGGCATCCATTACATTAACCAAAAAGAACTAAATCCAGGCATTAACATCCATTACATTTACCAAAAAGAACTGAATCCAGGCATCAACATCCGTTAAAATTACCCAAAAGAACCAAATCCAGGCATCAAAATCTGTTACATTTACTCAAAAGATCTGAATCCAGGTATCAATATCCATTACATTTATCAATAAAATGTTTCGCCTGGCGCAGCCTGATACGACCACAGTGGTCGAACCCTGAACAGTTGGGGCAAGTTTGGACACAATATTCAAGCTTGATACTGTCTGAATTTGGTTTGTGATCAAATTTTTGACATAACATAGGTTTCTGACACAAAATAAATGTGGTCAAAGATCTTAAAAATTTGAAATGGGACATTTAATTTACATAGTATGGTGTGATATCCAAAATCTAACAACATGGTTAGATTCAGCATATCAAAAAACAGTAAAAATTTAATTTTAGTTGAAATCAAACAAAGTTTAATTTTGGATCCTTCAAACCTTAATATGGACTAATTTGAAAACATGGCCCAAAATATAAAATCTAAATGCACAATAAGATTCAGCATATCATAGAGCCGCAATAATTCAGTTTTTGATGAAATCAAACAAGGTTTAATTTTGGACCCTTTGGACCTCAATGTAGACCAATTTAAAAATGGGGCCCAATATCCAAAATAGTTATACAAGGTTAGAACCCCCAAAAATTAAAGACTTAATTTAATCCCATTGAAATTGGTTAAAAGATTTGTATTTATTTTCAATTGAAGATTTCTTGCTATTGCGCAATACTGTGCTATTGCACAATACTTAGTTAATCTGTTATATATAATAATTTACACACCCTGTTTGGTGTGTATTTCCTACCATATCAGTATTTGTTGCTTTTATATATAAATCAGAAATAATTAATGTAAAAATGGAAAATTTTTGGGGAAAAAAACCAAAAAATTATGAAAAAAAAATCCCCCAAAAAATTTGTCCCCCCCCAAAAAAAATTTTGAAAAATTTGAAATTTTGAAAATTTTGAAGTAAAAAAGTATGAACCCCCCCAAAAAAAATCCCCTCCAAAAATTTTTTTTCAAAATATTTGAAATTTCAAATATTTTGAAAGAAAAAAGATGTGAACCCCAAAAAAAATCCCCCTCCCCCCCACCAATTTTTTTTTGAAATTTTGAAGATTATTTTCTTTTCAGGAAAAAATGTACAATTTCAGAGAGTTCCATAAACTTTAACACAAGTAATTGTCTGGAAACTAGAAAAAATGCTTGTTTTTGGCCCCTTTTTTGCCCCTAATTTCTAAATGTTTGAGGCAATAACCCCCAAACTCAATCCCAGCCTTCCCTTTGTGGTATGGAACCCTGTAGTACAATTATAGAGAGATCCATACATTTAAACACAAGTTATTGTCTGGAAACAAGAAAAATGCTTGTTTTTGGCCCCTTTTTTGCCCCTAATTCCGGAAAGTTTGGGGCAATTACCCCCAAACTCAATCCCAGCCTTCCCTTAGTGATATAGAACCTTGTGGTACAATTTCAGAGAGATCCATACACTTACACACAAGTTATTGTCTGGAAACTACAAAAATGCTTGTTTTTGGCCCCTAATTCCTAAACTGTTGTACCATAACCCCCAAAATCAATCCCAACCTTCTTTTTGTGGTATTGAACCTTCTGGTAAAATTTCATAGAGATCCATTCACTAAAACTCAAGTTATTGTACGGAAACCAAATGTGTCTTCGGACGATGACAATGTCAACAACGACATGATAGCATTATACAAACGATTTTTGCGGTTGCATAAAAAGAACTGAATCCAGGCATCAAAATCCATTACATTACCCGAAGAACTGAATCCAGTCATCACCATCCATTACATTTGCCCAAAGAACTGAATCATGGCATCAACATCCATTATATTATACCCAAAAGAACTAAATCCAGGCATAAAATCCATTACATTTATCCTAAAGAACTGACTCCAGGCATCAACATCCATTACATTAACCCAAAAGAACCAAATCAAGGAATCACCATTCATTACATTTATCCAAAAGAACTGGATCAAGGCATCACCATCCATTAAATTTACTCAAAAGAACTGAATCCAGGCATCAACATACATTACATTTATCAAAAAGAACTAAATCCAGGCATCACCATCCATTACATTTACCAAAAAGAACTGAATACAGACATCAACATCCATTACATTATACCCAAGAGAATTAAATCCACATGTGAAAGTCTCTTAGGCATTAAAATTGACCCTTCCCTCACATGGACAAACCAAATTAATGTGATCTGCTAAAAAATTTCATCTAGGCTATATCTACTATTAAAGATTAAGAAATTTCTAAATCTAGACTGCAGAAAATTATTCTATAATGGTTATATCTTGCCACTAATTGATTATTGTTGTATAGTGTGGAGTAGTTGTAGCAGTGAGGGTTTAAATAGAATATTAAAATTACAAAAGAGAGCTGCTAGATCAATACTAGAAACAGACCCTTTCGCTCCTTCCGAGCCCTTATTCAAACACTTAAACTGGATGACAGTTGAACAGAGAATAAAATATCACAAGTTTGTGATGACATTTAAGTGCATCAAAAATGACGCACCATCATATCTTACTAACAAGTTTCATTATGTTTCAGACAGAAATCCATGCCCCTTGAGAAATGCTATTCAAGGAATCCTCATACTCCCTAAACCAAAAACAGAATTGTTCAAAAAATCTTTTATGTATTCTGGACCATTCTTGTGGAATAATTTGCCAATACCGTTAAGAAATATTACAAATGTTAATTCTTTCAAATACAAAATAACAGATCATTTATTGAAATCAACCTAGCTGTATAAAAAATATTGAAAACTGATTATGTCATCACGTTTATTTTTTCATAACATTTTATCAAGGTGTATTGAACATTATTATCATACTTGTCTTTTTATACTAATGTATGCAATGTATATGTTTGCATTTTGTTTGATTTTAATGATGAGGGCCTCAGGGAAGATTAGTTATATAGCTAACTGTGTAACCCTCTTAAAATAAAGTATTGTTGTTGTTGTTATTACATTTATCCTAAAGAACCGATTCCAGGCATCAACATCAATTGCATTAATCCAAAAGAACCAAATCCAGGAATCACCATCCATTAAATTTTTCCAAAAGAACTGGATCCAGACATCACCATCCATTAAATTTACTAAAAAGAACCAAATCCAGGCATCAGCATTCATTACATTTATCAAAAAGAACTGTATCCAGGCGTCACATTTTTTGTCATAGATTTCAATGAATATAATCTATGAATTACTGGTAAATTATTAAATCAGAGATTTCATTACCACAAATTACTTTAAACCTTTACTAAATACTTCCATAGATACAAAGATTTGATTTTACATTTGGCTGTACCCATGGTACCTGTAGAAAACTTATTTTAAATGGGATAGCACATCCTAATTTTTACAGAGATGTTGTTTAACGAGCTTGGTTTATTGGTATTAATATTTATTTTGTTATCAGTAAATTAAAATCAAACTCAAGATTAATTTTATGTACATATGCACATTCATGGCTCTAAAATCTGTCTTGGCATTGCATAAGGTCATGTTTTTCGCTGACTGTTAATGACATCTTTACACTAAATCCATTGGATGTTGGATGTTTACTGATAGATATTTTTATCTTAGATGCATGATTTTTTAAAAATATTAGTTTTTATTGGCTTGAACTAGCTGTCAGTAACTGTGAGTTCTCTCAGATCTGTACTTAGTGTCGTTTTTGTTGTGGGGATGTATAAATACCCTGCCACATCAGGTCTGTGTTTTTGTTGGATATTTTCTGCTTTGTATCGATCTGATGAGTTAAGCCCTTTTCAACTGATTTTTAAAGGCAGTGCTTTAATGCCTTTCTAGTTGCCGTGTTAATATTTCTTTCCGCGATATCCAACTTATCTACGTGGGGGGTCATTAGGCTCCAAGTAGATCCGGAAAATGTTGATTCTCTCCTCTTCTTATTGCGGTATCAAATGTTTTTTGTCTCATTTCATTTACATTGGAAAATAGAGAAACGATCATTGTGTTTTGTTAGTTTTAAAAACTTTTGATATATTTGTATTTTACATTATAAGCAGTCAACCGATTGACAAACTAGAGTTATTTGAATTCCGTGTGGAAAGAGGTCGGGTTAATTTCGAGTGTTATCTGCAATCAAGGATTTGTATAGTCTCACTATACAAATCCTTGCTGCAATCTAGATGTTTATAAATCATTTCAGTCGTTGATATAATAATTAAAGGTCGACTGAACATGAATTATATTATACAATTTAAAGCGCATTTCTGTTTAGCACGCGAACTCGTCTAACGTTATTGTTATTCCGCAGTTATATAAAGTAGCAAATTATCGTTCCTGAATAGGTGGCGCCGTAGTAGCCGATCCTGTACTTCAACTTCCGGTTTCTGCACTGTGCAACTATTACAGTTGCATTTTTAATTGACGATGCCAAGTACTTGTTGTTGTGTACCTGGATGTCATTTAAGAGGAGGACATGCATTTCCAAATGACTTAAAAAGAAGGAAAAGTTGGATCAACGCCATGGCCCATACGCAGATTGGACGAGAACACGATGAAATCGTGGAGTCCATCTCAATCAGCTGTTGTTTGCAAGGCACATTTTACTGAAAAAGACTACGTGCAGGAAACTATTCATGGTAAAACTCTATTTTCTTTTTAAAATATATAGTTATATATGTAATCGCCATGCGAATAAACCAAAGTCTGTTTACAACCGCAATTATCGTTTTAGAATAAAAGGGGGTGGTTAATTCAAGACGTCATAATTTTTTGGATTACGATTCAATGTGATCTGTTTGAGATTTTTTGGTGCTTGCTACAATTATAATGATTTCTTACAAGAGGTATTTCATACTGAGAATTATTTTAGCAGTAATTATGCTAATGTAGTAATGACAGGAATGCATAAGCTATGCCTCATAGACTTTCTTGAAAAATATCAATGACAATGTTAACAGGAACAAAACAATGACATGATCTCATCTCTCTCATCTATATTATAGTTATTTAGGTACAAACAATGTATGTTTGTTTCATACGTCTCTCATTGTTTGTCCTTTGGATTTACATAACATACATTTTGATGTACATTGAATCAGGCTAACATAGTTTTATCCAGATTGTAATGAATAAATCTAGTTAATATTTTGACAGGTAGTACAAAGGAATTATAGTTATCTCGTACCATTGTAAACTCGTACCAATGTCAACTCGTACCACTAAACAAAAACTCGTACCAATGCAAACTCGTACCACTGCTAACTCGTACCACGGTAAATTCATACCATTGTAAACTCGTACCAATTTATTTAAATGCATTCAAATGGTGTTTAATGATGAATATATACTTTAATTTCACTCAATACCTCTAAAGTCTGTAAAATGTATATAATTTGAAATTACAATAACCAATTTGTAGCTAATTTTCCTTGTCTAATTGGATGGAGAAAACCGTGGCAGATTGGCTTTGTTGTCTCCCTTGAATAGACTCTTTTTTAAACTTTTACTGACAACTATTTGATTTAATTTTTAATCATTCCAAATCAGTAACATTGAGATTTGGGTATTTTTCTATTGTTTCTAAAAGGAATTTTATTTAATGAAAGAATTTATTGATTGTGTTTTAAAGGTTTAAAATTGTTTATGACCAACAGTTAGAAAGTATGAAATTTATTTTTATACAATATTCAGCACATTTCAGCAGAATATGACCATGCTTATATGATTATACAAGTTGATTAGTTAAAGATAAAAAAAACAAGTTGATTAGTTAATAAACAACCAATAATCACACAATCAAAGGAATTTAATATAATTATTAGCATGGTAATTAAGAAATTACATTCGTATTTTTGTCTAAGTTTTCATTAAAATCTGGTATAAATTTCAAAGATATTTTAATTTTTTGTATAAAGCTTAAAAAAAAAATAATCATAAAACATTCGTATTTTTGTCTAAGTTTTCATTAAAATCTAGTATAAAATTCAAGTAATTCAACTTTTTTTATTTAGTTTACCAAAAAAAAATTCATAAAACATTCGTATTTTTGAATATATTTTTAATGGTATGATTTGCAGTGGTACAAGTTCTGATTGGTACGACTTCCCAGTGGTACGAGTTTACGTTGGTACGAGTTAACTTTTTTGGTACGAGTTTACGTGGTACGAGTTAACTTGCTTCCGTACAAAGTATGCATTGCTAATGGAAGTTCATTTAATTATCAAAAAACTAATGTTTTATAACCTTTTTCAGGGCACAAACCCACCATACAGAGACTTAAGTCTACTGCCAATCCCAGCCTATTTTCCTGGACCAAGCAAGAGACTGAATCGTCCGCAAAAAGAAAAATCAGGGCAGTTTCCTGTGAAAACAAAAGAACTAAACTTGATGAATATTGTAGTAGAAATCCAGAGGAAAGTTTTGATTGTAAAGTTGGTTTTCCTGAAGAAGTAATTCATACTGCAGACAGGATTTATGACTATCCACCACCAACTGCCGAGCTAATGTTGAGCTTCACAGATGGAATTACGCAAACACCATCAATGCCTATATTTTCAGCAGAGAATTTTGAAATGAAGACACGTGACACAGCCATGCATTTTTATACCGGTTTAGAGTTGTATACTAAATTTTTATTTGTTTTGACCACACTTGGTCCAACAGCACATTGTTTGAGATACATATATATTCAAATTGATAGGGTGTCATTTGAAAATCAGTTTTTTTATGACTTTGATGAAATTGATGCATTATACAACCAACTTTGAACTGTCTAGATTCTAGATTGAAACTAGTGTTAAGAATATTGTGTAAACATGGATTGTTTTTATGTCTAAACAGTGGCGTGAGGCTAACACTTGGCCATTTAGTGGTTTAGTCAGGTATTTTTCGCCATCCAACTTTAAATTAAAGTTTCCTACAACTTGGATTATTATTGACAGCACAGAATATCCCGTGATAAAACCTAAAGCTCCTAGAGCTCAGGCAACCTTTTCATCATATAAAAACAGAAACACTGAAAATACTTGTATGTTCGACACCTGGTGGTTTAGTCAACTATGTCTCTAATGCATATGTTGGTTGTACCAGTGACTGTGAAATAGTTGAAAGATGTAGAATACATCAATTATGTGATCCAGGTGACAGTGTGATGGCAGACAAAGGTTTAAATATGCAAGATTTGTTTGCTCACTTTTTTCAAAAAAAGAAACAGAATAAGTTCCAAAACTCTTATACGGGATAGAAAAGTCTCCAATTAACACGTGCACATAGAGCTAATTATTGGACTTGGCAAAACATACAAAATTCTAATAAATCCTATGAATGGAACTGAAACAAAACTTTCATCTGAAATAACATTTAGTTGTTTTATGTTGTGTAATTTTAGAACTTGTATTGTGCCAAAGGATGCATAAATAAAAGTGACGCAATGAAGTTTGTTCTGATATATATATATAAATATTATTTACAATTACATGCACATGTAAATTGTAATGCATATAAAAATAAGGAGATGTGGTATGATATTCAGTGAGTTTATCGAACCAAAGTGCATAAGAAATGGGTTAAGCAGTTACAGGTGTTACTGTCACCATACAATCTCCAACAATTAGAAAAACTTGTACCGTGTAAAAAATTTCAGAGATCTTACAACCTAAGTTTTGTTGTCTCACCTTGACTTTGGTGAATTGTTTATATCTGTTGATGTAAATATAAAAAAGAAGATGTGGTATGATTGCCAATGAGACAACTCTCCACAAGAGACCAAATGACACAGAAACAGCTATAGGTCACAGTACGGCCTTCAACAATGAGCAAAGCACATACCGCACAGTGAGCTATAAAAGGCCCCGAAATGACAATGTAAAACAATTCAAACAAGAAAACTAACAGCCTAATTTATGTACAAAAAATGAACGAATAACAAATATGCAACACATAAACAAACGACAACCACTGAATTACAGGCTCCCGACTTGGGACAGGCACATACATGTACATGCAGAGTGTGGCGGGGTTAAACATGTTCACGGGATCCCAACCCACCCCCTAACCTGGGACAGTGGTGTAACAGTACAATATAAGAGCGAACTATAAAAATCAGTTGAAAGAGGCTTAACTCATCAGATGGATAAATACAAATACAAGTGGACGTGGCCGGGTAGTTGTACATCCAAACAACAAAAAGACACTAAGTACAGATCTGAGAGTACTCGAATTTACTGACAACTAGTTCAAAGCCACAAACAACTGATAAAAAAATCTTGCATCTAAGACTAAATTATCAATCCGTAAGCTCCCTTTAGAATTTTATAAATTTTAGATTTTACATTTCTGAGTTATGGGGTTTTATTCATTAAAAAAGGGGGGATTTTCCAGTTTTTGGACAACAACTCAAAAATGCTTTAAGCAGTTCGCATGAAACTTCGGTGAATTATTTATAGCTATTGATGTAATCTCCCTATTGATTCTCATAAATTTATAATATGACATTGAGAAGAAATTGAACTTTATTTGTTTATAGTCTGGCAACAGATTTATTAAGTATTGCGCAACAGCACAGTGTATTGCACAACAGCAAGAAATCTTTAATTGAATATAAATTCAATTCATATAACCGATTTCAAGTTCTTTGACTACATTTATTCAGAAACTGTAATATGTCAAATATTTAATTACAATCCAAATTCAGACCGGTATCAATCTTGAATATTGTGTCCTTTTTTGCCCCAACTGTTCAGGGTTGGACCTCTGTGGGTGTATCCAGCTGCGCTCAGCGAATCAGTTTATTACTTAATTAAGAACTCCTTTTTGTCGAGCCTGCGACTTTTGTCCCAGAAAGCTCGACATAGGGATAGTGATCCGGCGGCGGCGTTAGCTAAAAAGCTTTATATTTTAGAAGGTGGAAGGTCTGGATGCTTCATACTTTGTATATGGATGCCTCATGTTACGAAGTTTCCGTCAGTCACATGTCCAATGTCCTTGACCTCATTTTCATGGTTCAGTGACTACTTGAAAAAAAAGTTAAGATTTTTTGTAATGTTTAATTCTCTCTTATTATAAGTAATAGGATAACTATATTTGGTATGTGCATACCTTGCAAGGTCCTCATGCCCGTCAGACAGTTTTCACTTGACCTCGACCTCATTTCATGGATCAGTGAACAAGGTTAAGTTTTGGTGGTCTAGTCCATATCTCAGATACTATAAGCAATAGGTCTAGTATATTCGGTGTATGGAAGGACTGTAAGGTGTACATGTCCAACTGGCAGGTGTCATCTGATCTTGACCTCATTTTCATGGTTCAGTGGTTTTAGTCAAGTTTTTGTGTTTTGGTCTGTTTTCTTATACTGTATGCAATAGGTCTACTATATTTGGTGTATGGAATGATGGTAAGGTGTACATGTCTAGCTGGCAGGTGTCATCTGACCTTGACCTCATTTTCACGGTTCAGTGGTCAAAGTTAAGTTTTTGAGTTTTGGTCTTTTTTTCTAATACTATATGCAATAGTTCAACTATATTTGGTGTATGGAAATATTTTATGATCTATATGTCAGTCACGCAGGTTTTTTTTTACCTTGACCTCATTTTCAAGGTTCATTGCTCAGTTTTAAGTTTTTGTGTTTTGGTCTATTTTTCTTAAACTATAAGCAATAGGTCAACTATATTTGTTGTATGGAAGAATTGTTAGCTGTACATGCCTGCCTAGCATGGTTCATCTGACCTTGACCTCATTTTCTTGGTGCATTGGTCAATGTTTAGTTAAGTTTATGTGACAGTTGTAATAAAGTTTTATATTTAGGACTATCAACATAATATCAATGATTAGTAAAGAAGGCGAGACATTTCAGCGTGTGTACTCTTGTTTCATTCATAAATTACTTTATACTTGGAAATATAATTTTGCTTGGAGTTATAGTTTCTAAAAAAAGTATTGTCATTGAAAGAGTTGACATGTTGCAATGTACATTTATTCTACATAGTTCTATGGTACCAAATCAAAAGTGTATATTAAAGAAAGAAGTCAAAGGTTTCCCATCATAGTTTAGTTACATACATTTTTTTTGTACCTGAGGTCGTTGAATATAGATCATTATATAAATAAGGAGATGTGTTATGATTGCCAATGAAACAACTATCATCCATACATTGTACTTACCAGTAACAAACCACATTTGCAAAGTTGAATAAAATACAGTTGATAACATTTACTTATTACTAAAAAGAAAATGCCAAACTATTTTAAACAGTATTTGACTATAAACATAGATAAAAAAGGTACAAACTGGACATAATGCACTAGTTCATAAACAAGTGAGAACAATCGCCTTCATATGGTGCTCAGAATATGACATTCATAAAACTTGTTCAATATCATTAGAGAAGTCTAAATCTTAAATACTGAAAGCCACCTCTGATAAGTACAATGTACTATGCAAGATAATGATATAACTGGACTAAAAATACAGACAACCTGTAATTAACTGCCTTTACAGCGCTTTCGCGCTTTGATTATAGTTTGTTCTTATGTTGTACTGTTACACCACTGTCCCAGGTAAGGGGGAGGGATTGGCGCCAACAAACTAGTTTAACCCTGCCACATTCTGTATGTGCCTGTCCCTAGTCAGCAGCCTGTAATTCAGTGGTTGTAGTTTGTTGCTTATATCATATTTGTTTTTCATTCGTTGCTTTGTACATAAATCAAGTCGTTAGTTTTCACATTTGATTAGTTTTACGTTTGTCATTTTGGGCCTTCAATAGCAGACTATATGGTATGGGTTTTGCTCATTGTTGAAGGCTGTATGGTGGCCTATAGTTGTAAATGTCTATGTCATTTGGTCTCTTGTGGAGAATTGTCTCTTTGGCAATCATACATTTCTTATTTTTATATCAACATCCATTACATTTACCCAAAGGACGGACTCCACACATCAACATCCATTACATTTATCCAAAGAACTGACTTCAGGCATCAACATACATTACCTTTCCCCAAAAGAACTGAATCCAGGCATCAAATTACATTACATTTATAAAAAAAAAAAAACCCAATCCAGGCATCATCATAAATAAAATTTACCATAGAACATTTTTTATCTTTTTATCCCATAACATTTGCCTTTATTCTGTCATAGTCCATTTGTTTCACAATCCCTCCTTCTTTATGAAAAAACCCCAGATTGCTTCGACCAATTTCTATCTAGTTTGACCATATTAACCATACAATACAATTTGATGACAATTTCCAGTTCTGTTTAAGATTTATGGGGAGTAAAATTGATGGTTGTTTGTATGAAGACTGTTGTTGGCTTAGAATACAAGATTTCTATGTTCTAGAATACCAGTAACTAGTAACCATGAAATAGAAGTCAAGTGTGATTTTCATCATTAAAGCTTTTGTGTTTGGCCCTTGATATTTCATGTTTCCTAACCTGGCAGAGTTAGCAACAGTCATAATATTTTGTAATATCAATATTTTGTACATAGACAGCTTACGGTCTTCAAATCTCATCCACTGGACATTAAGCAACCAACTATCAATCAATCAAATCCCATCTGACATATATGTTGTACTTTACTTTATTTTGATGTTTCACTAACATGGTCAATTATGTATGATTTGTTTTTTTTGGCCTATTCTACATCTTGAACTTTATGGCAATACATGATGACATATTCATGACAACCTTTGATAAATAATAAGGGCTCCAACTCTCCTTTACAATTTGAAGTTTCTGAAGATTAATGTTTAGGAAAAGGTAGTTTAACATGAATAATCTTCACTTGACCTACATCAATAAATTTATCAAGATTATAACTATTATACTGTAAACTATGTCAAAATTATGATATGATTAAAAATTCATTGTTATCACTCTTAATGTGTTTGTTAAGTTTCAAGATAAAAGGAAATTCAATATAAAGTATATGTGATGTCAGCATGAGACTTTAGATTGATATACATTCAGTATAGATCCCATTATGATGCAGTTATGGATGGTCTCATTCTGATAACTAGCATTTGTATTTTAGTACTAATTATTAAATAACTTTACCCAAATGTTGAATCATGAAAGCTGAACCTTAAAATATTAGTCACATGGTTCCACTTTGGTAGATTAAGACTACCTCAAATATAATTAAGAAGATGTGGTATGAGTGCCAATGAGACAACTCTCCATTCAAGTCACAATGTGTAAAAAGTAAACAATTATAGGTCAAAGTACAGCCTTCAACATGTAGCCTAAACTTGACCATTATCACTTATCCATGACGGTTGCAAATTAATTATTAATGGACAAATTCTTTGTGAAAAAAGTCACTCAATGAAGAGTCTTATAAAAAAAGACGAACAAACTAAATGCACACCCTGTTATAACAGTAAAGGCGTATAACCTTTTTGAAGTTGTTTATACAGTTTTTACTACTGCCACT